GAGGACTGAAGACCTGATTTGCTTTGCAAATGAAACAGCCTAAGAATGAGACACTCAGCTCCTGTTGTTAACAAATGTGCTCAGAGGCTCCTCCAGCTCGGTGTAGGCTTAGGCTGTGGCTTCCGAACTCTGTGAACTATTCCCGCAGGCACAGGGTAACTATGGTCCCCTAGGCTGGTCCTTGGCTCTATTTTTTGTTTTGTTTTTGTACTTGGTTTTAAAAGAGATTTCTCAAGGTCTTCAAGAGGACAGACAACGTCCTCAGCAGCATCCTGACAACACAGGCAGTAACAGGTTTCGTGAGGGAACGCATTAGTGGGTTAGTGGTATCGCTTGGTCGGAGTATCACGCTCGGAAACTCAACTGGGGAGGATGGGCAGATGCGAAGGCGGCACTATTTATTACCTTGCTTGGGCCATAGTGGGCCTTTAATCTTCTTCTCACATTCTACACAGTGAAGGAGTGGGAGCTAAGTTAGCAGCTGGGAAAAGAGAACAAGACTGAAAGGCCCAGAGGACTCTCCTTTCCTATGTAAAAGCACATCAAGTCCTCTGAGACTGGCTGACAAATCCAAACCTCTCAGCACCTGCCTGCCGTGAATTTTCCAAGGCAGCTCAGCACGGTGCCTGGTAATCATTAAGTGTTTGTTAAAAGAACATACGATTAATAATAATCCAAGCAAAGTTTTGTTTTACAGATATGTTAAGCTCATTAAAAGTTTTTGAAAGAAATCATGGTATCTTACCACTAAGAAATGTCTCCTTTTACCTTTTAGTGACATACATTTTTCATACATGCTTAAGTTTCTGTTCTCAAATACCTAGTGAAAGGGTAACAAAATTTGGATAAAAATATTTTTGGTGAAAATAAATTTTATCAATTAGAAGAAACATTTTAAAACTTCTCTCCCAGGTTTCTGTTTCAGGATGATTTCTGTTTAAAGGCTCACAACATTAAAAGCTTTGGGTGTGGGGGCACCTAAGTGGCTCAGTCGGTTAAGCACCCGAGTTTGGCTCAGGTCACGATCTCACAGTTTGTGGGTTCAAGCCCCGCACTGGGCTCTCTCTGTGCTGACAGCTCAGAGCCTGGAGCCTGCTTCAGATTCTGTGTCTCCTTCTCTCTCTGCTCTCCCCCCACCATACCCCCCAGCTCGTGCTCTCTCTCTTAAAAATAAACATTTGGGACATGTGGGTGGCTCAGTTGGTTGAGTGTCCAACTTTGGCTCAGGTCATGATCTCACAGTTTGTGGGTTTGAGCCCCACGTCAGGGTCTGTGCTGACAGCTCAGAGCCTGGACACTGCTTAGGATTCTGGGTCTCCCTCTCTCTCTGCCTCTACCCTGCTCACACTCTGTCTCTCCAAAAATAAATAAACATTGAAAAAAAATTTTTAAATACACACTAAAAATTTGTAAATAAATAAATACACATTTAAAAAATTAATAACAAAAAGTTTTGGGTGTGAAGGATGCTTGGGTGGCTCAGTCAGTTAAGCTTCTGACTAGTGATTTCGGCTCAGATCATGATCTCACGATAGAGCCCCACGTTGGGCTCTGATGACAGCACAGAGCCTGCTTGGGATTCTCTCTCTCTTGCTCTCTCGCTCTCTCTCTCTGCCCCTACCCCACTCACGCAAATCTTTGTCTCCAGATAAACAAACATTAAAAAAAAAATTGGGGTGTGAAATGACACAGGCCTCTCTAAACCATATAAAATTGAGATGCCAAGCATAAAGACCCACAAAGAGAGTTCAGGGGAAAAAGCAGACCACCACTATCAGTGTTAGGTAAAGATTTTTATTTCTAACTTAACCATGCTGCATGTATACATACAATATCAATATATACAACTTGAACAAATACAATTTATACATAAAATACAATGAAAGTGTGGCTTTTGAAATTAATGCAACAAACTCATTGGAAGATTTGCAATTTTGGCCAGTATACAGTATTGTAGTAATGCTACTGAAGTTATTAATGATTTAAAATTAATCAAACTACAGTATAAGTTCAAAGGCACTAGGAAGATCTAGGTTTTCTTCTAGCATTTTAAAAACAAAAAATAACTAAAAAGGAAAACAAATGTATACATTAAGAAACTGGGCAGACACTGGCATGCTTAAATGTAAACTCTACCCATTCCTTAATTCACAGCCCTGTAAGAAAGAGAGGGACCTCCCTTTATAGAAGAGTTAAGGGGAAAGATATTTTTAGAAGACTAAAAATGACAGCTACAACCCAAAAACCATAATCATAATTTTAAAAATATATTACAGATCAAGTAGAATCACCTCCCTCCCGCAAAATAATCTTAAATTTCTTGCTGCAAAAAAAGGTCCCCTTTTCCCAGAAAGATGAGATACCTTGTCAGATGGATTCTACTTGCAGGCCACCCCCATATACCTTGATTAATCTTATATTTTACAAGAATCTAAACAAAAAGGGGGTGTACTATTGTATTTTAATATCCTAATTATAAGTATATATAATTGAGGTTTTAAAACAGGGTTTATTAAAGAATGTATCACAAACAATTAACATTCTACCAAGGCTCCTTTTAATAAATAAATATTACTTTTTTAAATTAAAGAGAAAATACCCTTTCAATAACCTATTTATATGAGACACTCATCTTAAAACTGTCTATTTCAAATAATGAGCAAGTATCTTCATCCATATCCTTTCATGAAATTAACACTGAAGTTAAAAATATTTCATTTTATGGACAAAGACACAGTACATGTGAAGAAACCACAGAATTGCTATGATCAGAGCTAAATGAACAGCTCTAAAGTCAGTATCCCATGCTTTCATATGGATATTCAAGCCTGGCTCGAATATCTTATTTTGGTATTTCATAAAATGAATATCTAAGGTACATCTGGTATAATCAATTTCTGATGTAAATGTTAAAAAAAAAAAAACTGCTCACATGGCCTGTTTTGTAAATTCCTCAATGTTTTGACTTTTTACAGATTTTTGCTATTGTAGCAGAAGTGGAATAGAAAAATAAATCTAACACACTGGCTTAAATTTTCTGTTTTAAAGCTTAATGCACAAGTTGTTCCTTCCCCACAGCAAAGGGAATATAGTGAACGATACTGTAATAGCCTGTAATAGCGTCTTATGGTGAAAGATGGGAGCTACACTTGCCATGAGCACAGTGCAACTCAGCAGCGGAATCACTATTTTGCACACCTGAAACTAATGTAACACTGTGTGTCAACTCTACTCAAAAACAATAAAAAATGAAGTTATTCCTTTCCTATTCACTGGATGGTTAAAGGCTAGAAGTGTGGATTTTTAGAAAGAAGTATGCATCTTTTTTATTCTACTGGCAAAATTAAGATTTCTCTGGAGCATTTGCTAACCATTAAATGTGCATCTACAACTGCCAAGACATTCTTCACAGACAAAGCTTTCACAAGACACAAATTCACCTCTAGTCTTCACAGTACCTGAACAATGCCCCACAGAGTGTAAAGTCAAAACTTCTAACTATCTTACACATTACAAGGAAAATGCTGCCAGGTAAATGCAATTCTTATTACCTAGAAAATATTCACCATACACAGGACATCTGGTACACCACCTTTGGAATGAACTTTAAACTTAGAGACGCATTTTTACCACCACCTCACAATCATGCCACCTACACTCACCCCCAGTCTATAGGCAGCTTGGTAACTACAAACCAGTATTTAACCAAACTTACTAAAATACTGTTCACTTAATAAATACTAATTTATGAAGTCTCAAACTTGCAACCAATGGACTTTAGGGCTGATCATATAATTTTAAAATTGATAAAATATACATTAAGTGGCTTAGGAGTAGCATAACTTATGAAAAAATTAAAATTTTGTAAGCAATCACCATGAGAACAATTCTAACTATTACAACTTATTTTACTACAAAAATGATTTTTTATTTTTAAAGGAATATGGTATAACTGGGATTTGTCAATAAAAGAAATTCAGGGAAGAATGTTTGCTTTTTATAAAATATGAATAAAAGCAAAACAAATGTTTTAAAGTCTAAGAATTAAAAGATACACATATTTCTTGCTTTGATTGCATTTTGTGGAAAATGGAGACCTTTCTCAATTGGGAGATACAGAGCAATTCCTATCACAATTTAGAACTGAGATGCAGAAAAGCATCCATTAGTCACACTCAAAGTGAATTTTAGAAAATATACATATATGGGCAAAGGTTAGTGACCAGTATTTAGCTTCTTAATTTTCTGCAACTGTGACTTTTATATCTATGTACAAACTCAATGCTTCGAGAGAACATGAAACCAGAACCAAAAAAGTGTATTTCACTTGAAGTCCAAGTGGCAGAAAAAGGTCAAGAGAGGTCCTAAAGAAACGTGTTTCCAACTTTTGCATTTTAAACATGTATACTTCTAAAGTTTGGCTGCTGAATTATAAAATTTTCCAAAGATCAATAACGTAAGTTGTCTCATACTTAAAATGCAATGAATGTTAGTATAAAAATTAGAACATTTTTAAATAGGCCAGGTGGGTGTTAAGATCAAATAATTTCTTAGATATGCAGCCCATACATTCACATATGACAGCACAACATAGAATGATGAGATCTGCTACTTTCTGTGTGCAAAACAGGACATATATTTTTTTTTCTATTTTGCCTATCCAGTTACCTAATTATACAGTAGTTGAATAAATCACTAGCAGATTTATGTATACATTAAACTGCAACTCTCTCAGCATAGTAAGCTGCTCCCCCAAGTTCCCTGCACAGTATAGAGTGTAATATGACAATCTGAACAATTACCAGTTGTACAATTTTAATATGACATTAATATATATACTGACTAAGACTTATTAGGCAAAATATTAGTTCCAGTCTTACTCCATGATTTACAGCTTCCATAATCTGAAATTACACAACAGTCTTCAGTGTTTTAATTAAAGATTTTGTCTAGGCATGAGAATATCATTAATTTTTATTGTGACTTTAAGTCTGTAATGTTTACTGAAGTAAAGAGTCAATCACAGTTTCAGGCTTTGCAGAACGCTTTCTGTTTGGAGAAGAGAAAAAGAAAATATGAATGCTTTCCTAAAAGACTGAATGCAAACACTTTACATTATGTAGCAGGTATGGCCACAGAGTGGCCATAAGGTCTAGAAACAAGCCAAGGTTTGCCACGTTTGACATGTTAAGAAATCAATGCCCACCTTTTTAGGCCAGAGGAAGGTCACCTGAAGTAGGTGCAAGAGCCTGACACTTTACCCTACCAACCAGAATGTAAGGGATTGAGTCAATGAAAACTTCTAAAATAGGACTAGACAGGCCAGGGCCAAGTGGGCTGTATGTTTGCCAGGCCTGAGCCCCTGGATTATCTGTTCTGGGGCATGCTGAAGGTACAGGTTCATTCAGTGAAAAAAAGAGACACAAATCCTCTGAAGCAACACCTGCAGAACCATGTGCAGGGACCGATGGAAATACTACATTAATGTACGGTGTTCAATGGAATTTTGCTTAGCGCATTGAACTATGCATTTCTAATTTACAGGAACATCACATTGGACCTTATCAGGTAATGTGATACATTATCAACAAACCATTTATTGTGTATGTTTATGTTCAGGGGCATCTACTGTTTTTATAATACAGAAGGCTAATTCTGGTACACAGGGAATGATAGGTTTGGCTCATCCAGTGTTGGCTCAAATGAAATTTTTTTACGTTAAACCATTTATCATCACTCTTGTGTTGTATTTTTTCTTACTGACTGCAGAGGTAAGAGAAAAATATCTCTATTAAAAATGGAAAAATGAAAGATCCAGCAGGATTTGTGTTTGACTTCTTCATTCACTAATATTACACACATGGCTTCTGTTGACATGTGAAAAGTTTTTAACAAGTGGCACTTGAATGCCAAGAAATGTAAAAATTTGTACATCTTTACAATGCTACTGACCTTCAGTCACATATACCAAATTTATAGATGTTAGGTTATGTCTATGATGTTACGTAACATAAAATATTAAAACCTTACAACTTCATCTGACTTATAGCTCAAAAGTCTACATACTCAAAGTAGGGGGGAAAATAAGCTTAATATTTCCTATCATTTCAGGAGCTCCAAGTGTTAAAATCAGTTTAAATAAGCTGAACAGTACTTACGTAGGGAAGGGAGAGAAGAAACACGCCCCAGCCCTGATCTCATGTTATGATACATATAGACTACTCAACAGTCAAAACCAGCACTCAAAGGAAAGGGAAAAATGGTCAGAAAAGCTTTCTTTAACTAGCAAGGTTAAAGGTTAAAGGTTCTTGGAGCAATGTTTATAACAGAAAAGCAAGCCAGCAAATATAAGACCTTGAGTTGAACCAGGCAAATTCATTAGCATCTCACTAGAAGAATTACTGTAAGAAATTAAGGGATTAAGATAGATAGATAAGAGATGACTTCTAATACATTTGGATAGAACAAAGTATATTAAAAATAAACTCTAGTACTCAGGAAGGCTAAAGAAGTTGGAAGCCTTAATTTAATTCTTTAGTTTTTACTTACTCAAATCATTACTACATAAGGACTCTGATATTTATTTAAATACAACTAAAATGCAGCTTTTTAATACAGCTAAAATATTATGTTAACTAAATTTCCTCTAAATGTATCTACATAGGATATCTCAGTGCCTTTATCTCACAGGACTGAAAGAGAAGTCTTTACCTTCGCCCCGTCTTTGGCCTTGCTTTCCCCTTTGACGTCCGTGGCCTCTCTAACTTCATCAGGGACTGCCGGAGGCTCTCCTCAGTATAGGCAAGATACACGTGGGAAAGGTCCACTTCAAAGGGCTAAGTAAAGGGAGCAAACACAAGACACTCTTATAGGAAGGATTTAAACCAGATGTGGGGAGAAGATTAAAAATACTGAATATACTCCTAGAGAAAAACTGCAGAAGACCAAATAAATGTCTAAGGGTATCTTTTTCTAATGCCACTCATGTCAAACGTATTCACCACGGGCGGTAAGTAAGGAGCCCTGACACCCTATCAATATCTTCAGAGGAAAGGAAAACCATTATTGTTTCCCCTATAGCTGCTACTTCCCTCTTGCTGACCTAGGTCCAGGACCAGCTCTGAGAAGGAGACAGACCCACTCTGGTCTCTAACTATCCCCCCGCCATGGCCTGGAGAGGTGAAGAGGCTCTGAAGAAGCCACCATGCCACCTGTGTGGTGCAAAGGGAAAGCCTACCTTCATGACTGAGGGGAGCAGAAACGTCCTCTACCCCCCTCCCAGGGCTTCTCTTCCCAAAAGATAGGCATATTTTTCAGCTGAGCTGATTAATTTAAATCATATTGATAACACAGATGAGTGACCCACATCCTATAAAGAAACTGGAGTTACAACAACAAAAAAGGACTCTTACATCTTTCTCCTTTTTATCAGGAGCTGGGGTCTGCTTCCTCATGTTATTTCCTGTATAGGCAACACATTTCTCAAAAAAGGAAAAAAAGGGGAGGGAGGAAAATTATCTTAATTAGCAATTAATACTGAGAATATGGCAAATTACTATGAGGTATACTGATGTTACAATCGTAAAACGTAATTTGAATACTGGAAAAGAAAGGAATCTAGAACTCCAACAGTCCTGTGCAACCCCAAACGACACCATTTCCCCTGAATAGTCTGTGTGTTATAACACGGTTAATGAGAAAAATATCTTATCCACTCTAGTGGACTCTCATCTGATTCATTCCCTGGACCATCTTAGTCTCCTCAGAGCCAGCACAGTCCCCAGGCCACAAGATGCACTCCATTAAGTACTTCATGAGAGGATGAAGGTAATACTCACCAGCTGCCATTCTCCTATGTCTTCATTCCAGTGGACGTAGTTTTCAATCATTTCCTTTTAAGAGTCAAAGATGGTCTACTTTTAATATTTAATAACATCTGAAATACTGAAAACGCTCTCAAAACTAAAATTTTAACATATTAAGTAAAAAAAGTTGCCTCAAAACATGATATACTGCATTATAACTTTCTGATAAATTTAAAAATACATACTTTGAAGGAATATACATAAATGCAATTAAACCATATAAAAATAAAAAGCAATAAAATGAAGAACATGGGATTCAGGATGATGGCGACCATGAGTTGGAAGAGGCAACGGGATGGCAGAGGGGAGAGGGAAACCGTTTGGTTAGAAATAGGTTACGTCCTGATAGCAGCTTTTGTTATGCATGACAAGGTCACTACAAAATAAATAACAAAAAAAGGCCAAAACAAACACAACTAACCAACTAAATAAAAGCAGGTCACCCAAGGACCAGTAAGGAGAATGTACCATGAAACAAAATTTCGTCAGCCTGAGGTCCAAAGGAAAAAAATATTAAGGCTTATTTTCAGAAAAAGTTCTCTGAGCTATACAGAGACTTGAAATAAATTTTTGAAAAATTAGTACGTTAAGGTACACTAAAATGTACCAGAAAAGTGGCAATTTGGGGTACAGAGAGGCTGACATTTTAAAATTATACTAGAATTAAAAATCAAATTCCACCTGGAGATGGATGGCAGTGATGAGTGCAAAACACCATAAACATACTTAATGTCACCGAACTATATTCCTAAAAATAGTCTAAAAAGGTAAATTTCGGGGCGCCTGGGTGGCGCAGTCGGTTAAGCGTCCGACTTCAGCCAGGTCACGATCTCGCGGTCCGTGAGTTCGAGCCCCGTGTCGGGCTCTGGGCTGATGGCTCAGAGCCTGGAGCCTGTTTCCGGTTCTGTGTCTCCCTCTCTCTCTGCCTCTCCCCCGTTCATGCTCTGTCTCTCTCTGTCCCAAAAATAAATAGACGTTGAAAAAAAAAATTTAAAAAAAAAAAAAAAAAAAAAGGTAAATTTCATGTTATGTGTATTTTACCATATACACTACACTATGATACACACACATGCACACACACACACACACGCACATACACACAATTAGTATCCATAAGCAGGGAGAAAAATTAGCAAAGGAGTTTCATTTATTCTATTTATAGGATCAAGTATATAGAATGAATAAACAGGAATGCAATTACCTAAATCTGGGTTCCTCCAAAGGGCTGAGAAATTCTTAGTTAGATACTTACATACTCAGAGAATTATGTATTGAGAAAAGATAACAGTTGAAGTGAAATGTGATGGCATTAGTTCAAATAAATTTTACTGTCAACAACTGAAATGTAAATACGTACCATCAATTAAATTAAAAATTATATTCCCATTTCTTCACCCCAGCCAAGTGATGTAACATCTAGGTAGAGAACTTCCCTCTTACCTGATAATCTTGAGGTATAAAGTTATCAATAATAAGCATCTGAAGTCGAAGCTCCCGGCTAAGTTGTCGAATATTCTCCAGGAGGCCTTCAATTTCCCTCTGATGCTCCTGTTGGAGATCAGCCATCTACCAGAAGAATCAATAAAAATATGAAGGGCAAACAAGATTTTAAATACAGAACAGTTTTATCTGATTTAAGCACTGGCCTAAGAAACTTTGTAACACTTACTCAGTTTTTTTCACAAAAACAATGCACAAAATGATACTACCCCTTCACTATCTATTTCCACATTATTTTTTTTCTTTTTTAATGTTTGTTTATTTTTAAGAGAGAGAGAAAGAAAGACAGAGTAGAGTGTGAGTGCAGGAGGGGCACAGAGAGCGAAGGAGACACAGAATCTGAAGCAGGCTCCAGGCTCTGAGCTGTCAGCACAGAGCCCGACGCACGGCTCAAGCTAGGTTAACAGCGAGATCATGACCTGAGCCAAAGTCCGATATTTATTAACCAAATGAGTCACCAGGTGTCCCTATTTTCACATTATCAAGGTTGGAAATACACAATATAGCTTAACAGCTAAAATGTGAAATTGCACACAAAGGAGAAAATGTTATTTCTTTAAAACTGTAAGCATACATTATAACCTCTTTAGGATTTTTAATCATACTCAAACAACTTTTTTTTTTAATTCAGAGCTACATTTGTAGGTAATCTCTAGGAAACCAACCTCTGATTTGGCAGCCATCAGCATAGTCCACACTTTCTTTAGTTTCTTGGTTTTTCCCTGTGCTTCCTCTTGCAAGCTGGTGTATTTTTCTTCAATATCCAAGCGTTCTTGCTATGACAAAAATTGATAAACTTCAGCCAGAATCATTTATTCGTTAAGTCACAAATTTCATTATTTAACAAATGATAAAAATGTTTAGCAACTATTATCTTTCAAAGCAATTCACAGATCTGCTTTAAAATTTTATTAAGATTATAGATATAAGACAAATACCACATGATTTCACTTATATGTGTAATCTAAAAAACAAAACAAATGAACAAAGAGATAAAAAGCAGAAACAGACCTATCACTACAGAGAACAACTGCTGGTTGGGTTTCAGGGGGAGAGAGGCAAAATGGATGAAGCAGGGAGTGGGAGGTACAGGCCTTCAGTTATGGAATGAGTAAGTCACAGAGATGAAAGGTGCTGCACAGGGAATATAGTCAAGAGTACCGTAACAGGGATTATATGTTAACAAACGGCAGCAACATTTGCCGGGAGTACAGATTAACATACAGAAAAACTGAATCACTATGTTGTACATCTGAAACTAGTATAACATTGTGTGTCTACTATACTTAATTAAAGATTATGGATATAGAGCTTTTCACTAGAAGAGTTAAATACCCAAGGCTAAGTGTCAACCAGAAACAAAAAGTCAGATTACCTCTTTTTCCTCAAGTTCTCTGCGAAGTTGCTCTGCTCTTTTCCTCCGTTCTTCCAGCTCCATGTTAGATTCTTCAAGAAGTTTCTCTTGTTCCTCAGCTTTTGCCAACAAATCAACACCACCAACAATTACCTTCTTCTCCAGAGCAGATAATTTCTCTAGCAAAGATTGATGTTCTTGTCTGTTGATTAAAAAGGAGAATAGTTAATATCCATCGATTATCTTCTATTCTATCAATATCATTTCCCAAAATTTACCAGGTATTTGGATGCAGAATTTAAAAATAGGGATATAATTATGTAACACCTCTATCTCACAGTGTAGTATTAATTAACTTATGATTTAATTTGTAACACCGAACTTCACTGATAATTGTTCCTCCTACATAGAGATGAAATAACAAAAACAGATGTAATTTCTGGAAATACAACAAAACCTTCGATCCCAAAAAGCTATTCTGGAGACAAAAATCAAGCTTTTAATTACTATTTAATTTTCTTGCTTATACATGCTATGAAAAATACAAGATTTTTAAATCACGAACCTATCTCAATTCAGTAATACTCACTGAGCCTTAAGTAGATCTTTTTCCCGTTTCTCTAATTCAGCTCTAGCCTTGTTTCTTTCTTCTTCTTCCATGTCAAGCTTTGTTTCAAGTGCTTTTCTCTCCTCATCAATTTTTGCTTGCATTTCAACCATCTTATCTGGGGACACTTTCTTTTTACCTATATGAGTCATTTATTTGCAACAATCACTTTAGGGCCAATTTTTCAGGCTTGTATAAATTCTCTTCAATTACAAAAGATACCTTCCTCAATAATACAAAATCAAATAAAATTTTGAGCAAATCAAATAATATATTTTATTTCTATTTAATATGTTCCTAGAATAACTTTTTAACTAATTGCTAAACAAACTGCTGTGTAATTATGCGATGATAACTAAAAACAAAAGTATGTCAAAGAGAAGCAAAACAGGTAAGTAGGAAAAAAAAAAAAAAAAAGAGAAAGATTAACAGGAAAGCCTAAATAAAAAAACCAAAGATCTATGTGTCCTCAAATATGCAGTATGTTCAAAAAAGCAGTATGATTATTTACTTTTTTCTGATAACGAGGTACAAAATAAAGTGGCTTCCAAAAATACCCCCCAGAGTTTATTAAAATAAATGAATAAATAAAAGGCACATATAGTCATAAAATGCACAGATGAAAGTATCAGGCAAAATTTATAGCAAGAAGTTTCTAACATGTATCTTCAGAATTTTTGTAAAATTTATGTTTAATAAAATTACTTGGGGGGCGCCTGGGTGGCGCAGTCGGTTAAGCGTCCGACTTCAGCCAGGTCACGATCTCACGGTCCGTGAGTTCGAGCCCCGCATCAGGCTCTGGGCTGATGGCTCGGAGCCTGGAGCCTGTTTCCGATTCTGTGTCTCCCTCTCTCTCTGCCCCTCCCCCGTTCATGCTCTGTCTCTGTCTGTCCCATAAATAAATAAAAACGTTGAAAAAAAAATTAAAAAAAAAAATTACTTGGAAGTGTTTCATATTATACCTTTATTAAAGGAAGAAATTCTATACTAATTATTTAACGGTTACATTACAATTAACCAGGCATTTTACAGTTGTTGAGCTACCATGATCTATCATCGTGTCTTAAATGAGCAATTAAAATAGCTCATTATTATGTCAAACTCAGGAGCCTAAATCTCAATAAGCCACTTTAAATATGTCAAGTATCAAATATAAATAGAAATACTATCAAATAATAAAGCTGGAAATGCAGTTTCCAGTTGATTATTTTGACTATAATGCCAACTAGAGTGTTTCACATATATATAATAGGTATCCAATGTAAGTTTATTGAATGAATTTCAAAATCATGAAACTAAAATAAGAAATCAAAAAGAGCAAATAAAAAACCAGGTTATCAAACTGGTTATGAAACTGAATCAAATAAATTCATTTCTGGTAATACAATTTCTTTGAAACATACTTTCCTTTAGAAAAACGATCAAACTTTTCGTAGAATTGGTGTGTGGCTCTCCTGAAAGCTTTCTGTCATTCTTAACTTCCTTCCCAAAGGACCACAGAAGAGTGTAAACCAGAAGAGTTTATAAATTGTTAATGTCTCCACCCAAAAGCTAACCCCTCCTGCTAACAAGGAAAGAGAACTGAAAGATAATGATGATGCAGATATTTATCTGAATATACATTTTCAGGAAACATGAGATGAAGAAGCATTCAGAGACTTTAAATCTTTAGGATAAAATTATATTAAAAACCCAAGGGTTTAAAATATATTACCCTCCATTTCTATAGAAATAAAAGTCCAAAGCAAACTTAAGCCACAAAACAAGTAAGTTAAATAAAAGAATAAATAAAAGCACTGATCCAAATTCATGCTTTGGTGTGGTGTGATTCATTGCATTCCAAAAGTCAGGATGTAGACCTGAGTATGTTGGCTTCTTTGGCACAGCCACTTGTATTGAATATTCTGAATTATGCTGTTAAAAAAATGATTTTAAAAAGCAATCTAATTCCTACTCCCAGTGAACTCCTAGATAGGATTAATCAGCAGTACTATTTCTTAGAAATTTGAGGGGGAAAAGTTGAAGTTCAGGTATAAAGGAATTGCATACAGAGGGTGCCTGGCTCAGTGGGTAACACATACAACTCTTGATCTTGGGGTTATGAGTTCAAGCCCCACATCGGGTGTAGAGATTAAAAATAAAATCTTTAAAAAAATAAAACGAGGGCATGCATTAAAAAATTGTAACTTATTTTCCACCTCAGCATTACAAATATTTAAAGAAAAAATGGCCAATATGTTAAGACAAAAAACAAAACAAAAAAACCTCTCTGTAAAGATGTGGATATTAACAGTATAGTGGAAATAATCTGATAAACATATGCACATTAATTTTTAGGCTTCAGGGTTCTAGTTGTTTGGTTAACACTTAAAAATATCTAGTTTCTAACCCCATTAAGAGGCAGTAAGAAAGATATTATATATAGAAATACAAAAGCACAACCTGTTGATGAATTACTAGCAGGCCTGAATTGCATTAGTTATTCAAAACCATTCAGGTAGGATTTTCAAACTGACGCTTTAGCAGCAAAAATCTTACTGTGCTCTTACAATATTCTCATAAAGATGACCATGCATACAGGGTTCGGTTCAGTTTCAAAAGTCTAATATTTAAGTTAAATAATATTCTAGCCAGTATTATTCAGATAAATCAATGTATTTCTCTGCAAATAATATTTCAGGCTAAATGTGAATATGTTCCAACTCTCCTAACCAGTCACTTAAAATTGTGACATCACTAAAAGTCACTCTTACGTTGATTTTTTTTTTTAAGAATTTAAAAAAATCTTAACTAAACCAACCAAAAACCCTTCTTCTAATACTGCATGATAGATTTCAGCACAAAATTTCAGGTAAATACATCTTAAAAGTTGGTCATGTCATATAGTATATAATTAAGCCAAACAGGAATAATAGTATTAATTGCCCTTTGCCATGCATTCCAACCAAAATTGCCAAGATGAAATTAAAGGGAAGAATTTCAGGAAGAGTTAACTGAATTAATTTCATTCTCATTACATGAGCATTGTTGGGCATAAGTACCCAGGTGTGTGATTTCTTTTTTTATTTAAGAAAAAAAAACTTTAAGTTTGTTTTTTTTTTTTTGGATTCCTTGCTTTAAAAAAATGCTTGAATATGAAAATCATTTATATTTGCATTACTGAAATTTGGCCTAATAGGTCCTTAAAAATTTAGGAAAAAATATTCTGTCATCTGGTTCTGGTGTTATATTGACTTTTGTCTATTGTGTTGACGAGGTCTAGAGAATCCAGTGTATGTGAATGTTGATCTAACACTTGTGAACTGTTCCTCTAAAAAGATCATTTGGAAACAAGACTGTTGCTAATATCTTCCTGAATAAAAATGGAGGTAATTTTTTTTTTAATTTAGGAAAAAGTAAGTTTTTAAAAAAAAACTAAAAGTTGAAAACTAAAGTTGATTTTTTAAAATAAAAATTGAAACATTTTTTTTAATTTAGGAAAAAGTGAGGTTTTTTAAAAAAACTAAAGGTTGAAAACTAAAGTCAAAAGATTTTTTTTAATACAAAAGACAGATACTTACCTTGTAAAAAAATAGTATTAAATTTTAAAAATGTAATGTAATTAAATAATAAAATTCTTTATAGTTTAAATAATTATACCATGTGGAGTGCAAATCAATCACACCAACCTGCTTGATCTTTCAGTAAGAAGTAGTAAGCAAATCGTAGACAGGAAGCATATGCACAGAGATGAAGAGGAAAAAAAGAAAAACATTATTTCCTTTGTAAAACAAAGAAAAATGTATAATAACATTTACTTACAGTATAAATACAGAAATAAATCATCAACACTGAAAGAGAGCAGCTTTACGTAAAAAGAAAGGATATTCAACACAATCAGAGATGTAATTTAAGCAAATAAGATTAAGATTACACTTCAAATCAATCTCAAAAGCTCATACAATGACTCCCACACTCCTGAAAATATAAGAGTTCAGCACTATGTGGTTACACCAACGATACACATGGAATTGGGAACCTGCTAAGATCTAGGAAGTAGTCTGTAAGGACAAAACAAAAAACGATGCCAAATTTAAAAAATTAGCTGAATGTAGCAAAATTTGCATTGTCTGTTTATAAAATTTCCCAATTCAATGTTCTAATATAAAGATCCAATACAGGTGTGCCTCCCTTTAAGAAAATCCAACACAAAAACCTCAATCAACTAAAGAGATGAATTGGATTATAGTAATTTGTAGCAAGAACTTGATTAACAAAAGGATTTAACAAAGAAATGTTAAGGACAGTAAGTTCTCCCAATGGATGTGATTCTCCAATTTGGTTTATAAGCAAATTTTTCAGAAAAAAAAAAAAAAAAAAAAAAAAAAAAAAAAAAAAAAAAAAAAACACATTAACTGCATAAAGTGAAGTACACCTGTATAATAACAAACTTGCATTCAATCTATTAGTAGATTGTTAAAGGCAATTATGATTTCATAGAAGTAAATGATCAATTGATGATTCAAGCAAAGAGCACCTTAAAAAAGGCCATTCATATTTTTAAAAGGAAAGGTACATACAAGTTACACACAGCAACCACATGCTGGGAAAACCATTTTTCCAATGCACCAACACACCCACATCACAACAAAAAACGTTGTATGCTAGGTACACAAGTAGTAACTAAAACTGCATGAACTGAACAAAGTACAACTCATTTCATATAACTACTCTTTAAAGATTAAGGTAAATTTTAAAAAAGAAAATTAAATTATAATGTTCCACTCAGATATTTTCTCAGACCTGACAGTTTATAATAAGAAATAATACCTCTATATGGTTTCTAAAGCAATTTCTTGTATTTTATAAATTATCCTATGAAATTAATTGTTTTGCTAAAAACAATTTGCTAAAAACAAAAGAGTTGTCAAGAGAGAAAACAATTCTTAATATTCTTGGAATTCTTCCTCTAGAAAGCTAAATGTGTAAGAACAACCAAAGGTTTTTGTTATTAGTTTTGGAAAGGTGAGTACACGGATAATGCTTTAAAAGGCAGTAAGCTGCAATCTAGTACAAGAAAACATCAATTCCCCTTTCTTCTAAAAATATAAATAAAATTAACAATACTTTTCAACTTAATGAAATTAAGGTTTAAGAAAAAGCCTTTACGACTGAAATAAGTCTAGACAGATCCTGCAGAAACAATTTCTTGTGGATCTGAAGTCTCTAATCATACCTTAGAACATTTCTTAAAATCAATCAGGTAGTTCAGAAATAGAGAAAAGTGGCCATTTGAAATACTACCCAATGTATCTTTACTTGCTTCAAACTTTACAGTTTATTTGGGAGCTTTCCATCTTAAGCTACCCCTAAGAATAGGACACCAAAGCAGAAGATCTTTATAACCGTAAATAAAACATGTTATAATGGGCACTGGTGCATTGCCAAATATAATTTGTACTTTTAGAAATTCAGGATTTGTTACTGCATGTCCCTGATACTAACTAGGATTAGAAATTTATGATGAAACCTAAAAAGGAACCTCTTAATTATTCTTTTATACAGCTTACTAGCTCTCTTTACATTATCTCAATTGCAAAAGCATGAATCTCTCTTCCATTGTCTCAAACATAAGCTTAAGCACATGTTTTAACAATTATGGGTAATTGGAAGCAATGAAGAAGGGGAGAAATCATCACATGCTTTGTTCTACTGAGAAGTCCAACACATATTCTTTAAATAATGACAGGGAGCAGTGCAGCATTTCTCAAATGAAGCCCACGGGTTATGGAAAAGCCAAAGCTCTGTGACGTAATTTAAGAGCTACCACTCACTAGGCAAGGACTTATCCAGAGGTTTCTCTATGACAGAACATGTGGAGTCTGAACTACTGCTGCTGCTACTGCCTGGAAGACAAAGAAATGAACCCAACGGGAACCAAAGAAAGAGGAAACAAGAAAATGAACACATACACAGAGGAAAATTCAGTTCCAGAAACAGAATTTTAAAGAACAATCAAGCTTTGTACTAAAGAACCAAAACTTATTTTCCCTTAAAACCAGTCCTGGTATATTATCCAATATTCTCTAATTACAAAGTCAGACAGGGCAATTAGAAACTGTATTCCTTTAAGCATGTACTATGGACAAATCCCAATATCTACTTAAAACAGCAGCAATTCAGAGGTTGGAATGACATGAATAAAAAAGTAAGTCAGTTGGTGACATTTAAGTCTCTTTAAACTATTTAGTTGATAAGTTACAGGAAGTGAGTTTTAAAACTCCAAATTTAAAGTTATGCACAATTAAAACTATAGAAATGATAAATTACCCTTCATTATAGACAGCTTGCTTTGTCTCCAATTTCACTCCTTCTCCACCAAAACATCAAGCAATTGGATGTAATTATGTATGTTTAAGGTTTCATGGCAAAACTGTGAAAGGCTCACTGAAAAATTTAAAATTTATAAGCCTATCTTACAAGGTAATAAAATATCTTACTATTAAATATTTTAACATATTAAGCAATGGCATTTTTTTCTACTTAAAATTTTATTTTTAACAGATCTATTATCTGCTTTAGCTATGACAAGTCTGAAAAAAATAGGTATGAACACAAAACCATTTATGTAAATCAGGGGTGGGCAAACATATTCTGTTAACGGACAGATAATAAATGCCTTAGGCATTTATTCTGGGCTATCCAGAATCATGTGAAAGCAGCCATACACCATATGTAAACAAATGAGCATGGCTGTTTAAATAAAATTTTATTGGGGCGCCTGGGTGGCGCAGTCGGTTAAGCGTCCGACTTCAGCCAGGTCACGATCTCGCGGTCCGTGAGTTCGAGCCCCGCGTCGGGCTCTGGGCTGATGGCTCGGAGCCTGGAGCCTGTTTCCGATTCTGTGTCTCCCTCTCTCTCTGCCCCTCCCCCATTCATGCTCTGTCTCTCTCTGTCCCAAAAATAAATAAATGTTGAAAAAAAAAAAAATTAAAATTTTATTTACAAAAACAGGTGGCAGGGCAGATTTGGCCAGTAGACTTATCATTGACCAACTCTTGCTCTAAATCATGTTCTACCTGTCTTTTTAAGTTATAGGACCTTTCATTTTAAAATTGGGGACTTCTGGGTTTATCTTCAACAAGACCATTTTAATAAGACAAGCAAAATATGCACCAGCTTGAAAACAATGATCCACACATTAATGATCCACATTAATGGAAGAGAGTTCTGAAATAAACAAACACTCAGAGCACAAAGGCTTGAAAAGCGGGCCATTATAATGTCTCTTTCACCTGTTACTTTTATCTTTATCACAATAAACACAACCTTACTTCACCCTTGGCAACAAACGCCCCATAAAAGAGTAAGAATGAAAGTGCATTTTACAAAGTATTGAAACATAAAATCCTCAAAGTTATTTAAAAAATTCAGTGACTTCTAAAGCCTACCCATGCTTGAGAAAAACTCCACATTATCCTGACTTCCTAAAACAAAACAAAACAAAAAATTTAGGTTCCTAACAAAGATCAAAGTTCCCACATAAAATTAAAACCCTGAATGAAATCTTAACATGGTACAACCACTATCACAGATTTTTACATTTCTAAATTGTAAAAAGACAGAAGATAAGGTATTCTGATTCAGCTGTAAATAGAAGATCAGCACTAGAGAAAAAAATAAGGCAAAGTTAACCATGTATATGGCATATTTCTTGTTTGAACTGCTACCATAACTAAAAATGGCAAAAGAAAAGGCATGCACTCAACTGCATTAGGAATGTGAAATCATATGTAGGTAGCAATCCCAGTTAATTTCTAGAACATTAAAAAGAACTTACCCCTTCTTTTTTTCCTCTTCTCTCCATCTTCTCCAACCTCACCCTCTTCATCATCCTCTTCCTCTGACCCACTGATATCAGAGCCTGATATTTCTTCCCCTGAACAGAAATTTTACAAAACGATTTATATTCTATACCAGGTAGGTCATGACCTCTATTAATTTTCTTCATTAAGTTTTTTTTGCCTGAAACAAACCATATTTTAATATTCCTAAACAGTATATCAGATATGCTAACCTCAGGAATAGACATGATGTACGTAGAGGCTTTAAAGTTCCTAAAGAGAAGTTAAACTGATCTACTTAAAATTTCAAATGATTAGTTTACAAACAGTTCTAAATACACATAAAAATTTCATGTTAAAGTTGTTATTTCGGTTTTTTGAAAAAGAGATCACTTTGGGAGACCATTTTCTCATGGGTTTTCTGTTTAAGATGTTAAATAATTCATTCAACCAGCATATTTTTTTAAGAACCATAAAATTGTCATCTAACATAGTGATTCCACTTTTAGAACTATATAATAAGAAATGTTTCAAAAGAAGGGGTTATTTGTACAAAGAGTATAATAACTTTTCCTTAAGCCTGCATTTAAAAAAAAATTTTTTTTAATGTTTATTTTTGAGAGAGAGAGACAGAGTGCAAGCAGGGGAGGAGTAGAGAGAGAGGGAGACACAGAATCCGAAGCAGGCTCCAGGCTGTGAGCACGGAGCCTGACTGGGGGCTCGAACTCACTAACTGTGAGATCATGACCTGAGCCGAAGTCAGACACTTAACCGACTGAGCCACCCAGGCGCCCAAAGACTGGATTTTTTAAGTAATCTCTACACCCAACGTGGGCCTCTTAACTCACAACCCTGCGATCGAGAGTCACTCTTCCAAATGAGCCAGCCAGGCACCCCAAGTATGACTTACAATGAAAAACAAAAAATAAAATAAAAGGGAGTAATTAAACTAATATTAATTCAAAGCAGTACTATATTACCTCCAAAATAGTTATTTAAAAACAATACCGTCAATGTAAGAAATGTCTAAAAAAAACAAAGGTAACTTGGGGGGAAAAATATACACTCATCACAAATGATAATATCTGAACAACAGTAAATAATGGATGGGAAGAGATTGGCATATTGGGAGAAAAAAAGCATTAAAAACATTTTCTTTAGGCCTAGTGACAATGACACCCTTGTAGCAGTGAGTGCACATAATGTCCAAATCTCGATTTCTAAATACCATTCTCCATTGAGAGGGACCAGGGAGAAACAGATGGTTTTAAGACCAGAGCAGGGAAAATATAAAATGAGCCTAAAACACATGTGGTGCCAGAAATAAGTAAGTGCTCAAAACCACAAGCCAAAAAAGTGATGGGAGCATGCTCAAAGGATGTAGCAACCAACTACCCTGAAGGGGTGCCTATGGCTAAAGTCCAAGTAATTTGAGCAATAAAACAAATAACGATATTGTTGTATTACACTGCACAACACAGTGCATTGACATAAATAAATAATTGAATAAATAAACCAGTGGGGGATAAGGGACTATTCCCCCTCACAAGAGAATGCCAGACATTAAATATTAGAAGGAATGGTGAGAAGAGAAAGTCACCACTGAGCAAATGCCACAGATTTATTGTTACAGGCAAGAACCCCTGTTGGGTGCTAAAATTAGGGCAGAAAAGAATGATGAGAAACAGGATCTTCTCATAATTTTTCAGAGTATCTTCTCATGAGACACACCTTAATACCAAAGAAAAAAATTAAATGATAGAATTTATAGTGAAGAATCCTTGCAGAATAATTATGAGAGAACTACAGACAACCCAAAGTGAAGAACATTCTACAAATATATGACCTTTACAGTGTGAAAACCATGAAAGACAAAGGAAGATGAGGAACTGGAGACAGGAGGAGACTAAAAGGTCCTGACAACTAACTGCAATGTGTAAGCCTAGACTACATTTTAAAGTGAAGATAAAGGGCATTTTTTGAGAAAAAACTCAACATCTGAATAAGATCTACAAATTAGTTAATAAGTCTGTATCATTGTAAGTTTCCTGGTTCCAACAAACATAAAAGATGTTAACATTAAGGGAAGCTGTATAATAGCTATATAGAAACTCACTATACTTCCAAATTTCCGATAAGTCTATAAAAAGTGTTTAAAAAATCATTCTTTTAATGTTTTCCCCTACCTTTTTATTGTTTGTGACCAACTGTATTAACCATAACACTCTTACCTGGATTATAAAAACAAATGTCAGAAGCATCAATGAAATGAAATGAAATGAAATGAAATGAAATGAAATGAAATGAAATGAAATGAAATGAAATGTTTTAAATATAAAGTCAGCATGATTTTTTACCACATGATCCAACAATTCCACTTCTGGGTATATACCCAAAACAAGTGAAGGCAAGAACTCAAACATGTATCTGTATCCCCACATTCATAGCACGATTATTCACAGTGGTCAAAAGGCAGAAGCAACCCAAGTGCCCATCAACAGATGCACGGATAAACAAAATGCGGTGTATACAAAGAATGAGTATCATTCAGCCTTTAAAAGGAAGGAAATTCTGACACATGCTATGACATCGATGAACTGTGAGGACTTTATGCTAAGTAAAATAAGCCAGACATAAAAGCACACATATTATATGATTCTACTTATATGAGTTATCTAGAATAGTCAAATTCAGAGATAGAACAGGGGTTACCATGGGTTGAGGCAGAGAGGGGGATGGAGAGTAAATGTTTAATGGGTACAGAGTTTCATTTGGGGATGATTAAAAAGTTTTAGGGATGGACAGTGGTAATGGTTGCAGAACAAGGTTAACATACTTCATGAATAAACGAATAAAAGTAGTTAAAATGGTAAATTTTACGTGATGTGCATTTTGCCACAATTAAAAAATGTAAAAAAAATAAAGGCAGCAAAATAAAGGATGAAATGAACATTAACAAATCTAAGAAATTTAAACCTTTAAAACATACTGACTATAAATACCACCTAGTGGTCATATTTAAAATACCAAATTTCATTACCTAAGAGGCAACTCAATTATACTGCTTTTCCTCAATAATCTTACTCAAATTTATTCAATCAGTACTATCTCCAAACATTTGTGATGTTGGAATTCACATCTGATGTATCCAGTTTCCCCATAAACTGTAAAAAAGCTATTTTAAGCCTTCTGTTTATCTGCTATGCAAAGCACCCCTTATGCCAATCAGTTCTTAGCATGAAGTGGAGAGAGTCATTGAGCACTTAATGACAGCTGGTAAATTTCTCACCCTCATGAACAAGGTCTTCAAACTTTCTAACCTTCTAACACCTTATTAGAAAAGGATTCCTCAAATTCAATCTCATGTTCAAATTTAAGAACGAAAGCATTATTTTCAAAGCCACACAATGAATTTTGACTTAGAGTAAATGTGGTTTACCCATGACTCTCTGATAGCTTTCTTTATTTTGAACAACAGTGACTGATACTCTAGGTCATTTTCACCTAAATATATATATATGGTAAAACTCACTCTTATATGGAGACAAAAAAATTCATTATTGAATAAGTGGTCAAATGAAATCTATAAAAGGTCATAGGGATTGAGATGGAGGTTTAAATTAAATCAATTTTTAAAAATTACATACACAAATATTACATAATTAAACTTAATATGAAAATGCTAAAGTATGTATCAAGTTACCTTGTAGAAATATTCCTTAAAATATCAAAGTTAGATGCTCAAAGAATTTAAATAAGTGATTTTTATTAGAATACTTAGTGGTTAAACAATATATTTTTAGCCAATATTAACATTAGTATTTTGAGAAAAAGTTACCTTCTTCAAGCTTTTTTTTCAGTTCTTCTATTTCTTTCTGAAACTGACGAAGCAAAGCATCCTTTGGATCTTCATTGATTCTAGCTTTATTTTTAATATTCTTAGCACGGTTAGCATACCGTAATGTACTAATAGTTTCATCATAATTGTAATCTGCTGGCCCAATATTTGCACACTGTTGAATCAGGAATACAAAACATTTTACCCTTGATGCAGTCAAAATTAATACTACCATTACAAATATATCAAAAAGAATTTCTTAAGCATAGATAGTTCCTCTCTGGCCTTCTGGAACAAGAAAGCAACCACCACACAGATTTCTAAACACCATTATATGGGTTAGCACACATGATGTTCTTCCAAAAGAATCATCACAAAGTCAAAAAAAGTGAAATATCAATGGTTTTTAACAAGTCATGGCAATACATAAACAGGAATCTGAAATTTGCCTGATGCTAACTATTCCACAATTAAGTCTTACCATCATGGTTTTTGAATTTCCTCCTAAGGAATCTTGAAGAAGACGAGTCAATTTAGAGTTGCGATAAGGAACATGAGTGCTTTTTCCATCAACCAAGGCAGAAATTACATTACCAAGGGTGGAAAGGGAAAGATTGATTTTTGTGGCTTCCTTCAGGCGCTGTCCAGTAGCTCCAGTTTTTGCTTGTCTTTCTGAACCCTAGCAACAGACATAGAAATAAAGCTCAAATAAAAAATACAGAATATGCCTCTGACAGTTTAAAACAGACTTTGATGCTGAAAAATCTGACAGGATATCTGGAATTTGCTTCAAAATAATACAGGAAGGGAAAAAGTGGCTAAAGGCAAAAATGAATCAGGACTGGCCATGAACTGGTAATCGCTGAAGTTGGGTCATGGGTATATGGGAGATCATTCTACTATTCTAACTACTTTTGTATACATTAGAAATATTCTATGATAAATAAGTTAAACACGTACATAAGTAAACAACTTAAAAACTGTATGTAAATTACACATTTTCACTTGAATTTTTATCCATTAATAAAAGGTAAAAAACAGCAAAGGTTACTCCTTCAGTAGTATCCTGTTACTTACAGCAAGGTCTACAAGATGGAGCTTCCCCATTCTGACATGCATGTTACCATCAACGCCTTTTTCACTGCATTCTATAGTAATTGTAAAGATGGCATGGGAACGGGAACTGTGTTCATTCATATTAGTTGCGCCAACAGAACCTTGAAGAAAGGAAGGAAGTTCTTAGAAAGTGTAACACCAGGGAGCATCTTTAAAAATAATCAAATATCCAGGGGCCCCGGGGTGGCTCAGTCAGTTAAACGTCTGGCTCTGGAATTCAGCGCGGGTCATGATCTCACGGAGCCTGTTTGGGATTCTTTCTTTCTCTCTCTCTCTCTCTCTCTCTCTCCCTCTCTCTCTCTCTCCCTCTCTCTCTCTCTGCCCATCCCCTGTTCTCTCTCTCTCTCTCTCAAAATAAATAAAACATTAAAAAAAAGTAATACCACAATTAAAAATTTTTTTTAATCTTTAAAAATCTGATCCGACACCACTTTATAACATCTGGTAAGTAGTACTACACATACATGTTTCCACAGAGTATTATTTTACCTTCTGTTTTTTTCCACCTAACATTATCTCCTATATTTCCATGCAAAAACAACTTGCAAATCTTACTAAAACTGATTTTGCTATTCCCTGATACTTGGATTGTTTCCCATTTTAGGTCCTCATAAGGAACAACAATACAAGCATCTTTGAGCAGATACCTCTCTTTCTCTTAAGGACTATGTCTATGGGATGTATTTTTCAAACTGGCACTAGTGGATCAAAGGGTTGGAAGAGTTTTACAATTATGTGATTTTCAATCTGGGGTGGGAGAAAACATGTAACATAAAAAACTGGTATTAAATATTTTAGTACCTATTACTTTTCCAACATAAGTACAGCATGGGATTTATGACTGTGATTTTTCTTTATTTCCAGTTATGAAAACAAAGCAATGCAACAGACAAGCTATACTGAATGTTATAATCCCTAAGGAGAAAACTGCTTGCAGCAGTCAGGTTGACTCAATACTCCAACCTACTGAAATATCACATATGGAAATAAAACAAAATTCCACACCTTTAATTTGTGTCAAAATTTTTATTTTGGATGAAGAAAAAAATTAGGGTGCCTGGTTGGTTCAGTCAGTTAAGCGTGCAACTCTTGGTTTCAGCTCAGGTCAGGATCTCACAATTTCGTGACTTCAAGCCCCATGTGGGCTCTCAGCTGGCAGTATGGAGCCTGCTTGGAATTCTCTCCTTCTCTCCCTTTCTCTCTGTGCACTGCCCCCCCCCCCCCAACTCATGCTGTCTTTGTCTCTCTCAAAATAAATTAACAAACTTTAAAAAAAAAAAAAAGAAAAAAATTAAATATTTATGTTTTTCAAGATGGTAAGGAGAACTTATGCTATAAATATGATTGCATGTGTATAAACTCACACATGTAAGAATATTTACTACAATATTACTAATAACAGCGAGAGTGAAAACACAAAAGTCCATGAATAAAATATTGGGTAAATACGTTATGTAGATAAACCCAGCGAAATACTATATAGCTATTTTTAAAAGGTCTACCATGTGTTGATGTGAAATGATTTCTATAACAACACCCTTAAGTGAATAAATACTACTATTATTTGGCTCCTGTAAAAAGGACAAGCACTCTCTGTAAAACTGCACTTGGGCATTCATGGACTGTATCAGGAAGGGTACGTGGGAAATTAATGGAGGTTGCCACTGGGGCGGGAACTAGGTGAGTGACACCCAAGGGTAAAAGAAAGACTTGTTTTTCAATGTTTACTTTTGTGCCTTTTGAATTTTAGAACATGTGTATGGATGATCTATTCAAAAATAAAAATTTTCAAAGAAAATGATAATTAAAAAAAATTTTTTTTTTAATGTTTTATTTTATTTTTGAGAAAGACAGAGCGTGAGCAAGGGACGGCAGAGAAAGAGGAAGACACAGAATTGGAAGCAGGCACCAGACATTGAGCATGTCTCCACAGAGCCCAACGTGGGGCTCAAACCCACAAACCGTGAGATCATGACCTGAGCCGAAGTCGGACGCTTAAAAAACTGAGCCACCCAGGCGCCCCAAAATGATTATTGTTTAACGGCTGAAAAACACTGGTCTAAAGAAATATTAGCAAATTCACAATAGTGCCCGCAATGCAAATATAATTGACTATCTTAAATTTGCATTTTAGTTGCCAAGCACGTCACATATTCATGAAATGAAAGACTTTTTTTTTTTTAATGTTTTTTAACATTTATTTTTGAGAGACAGAGAGACACAAAGCATGAGTGGGGGAGGGACACAGAGAGGGAGAACAGAATCCAAAGCAGGCTCCAGGCTTTAAGCTGTCAGCAAAGAGCCAGACGTGGGGCTCAAACCCACGAACCGTGAGATCATGACCTGAGCTAAAGTCAAACGCTTAACTGACAGAGCCACCCAGGTACCCCTAAAGACTTATTTTCTTAAGTGTAAAATTAACTAGTTCTATACTATGACCTCCTGCACAAAATGGGAACTAATTTTATATTTGTATCAATTTTTCATCTGTTTAGAATAACAGCTTTTACTGTCACATTTCCTTGCTCTGCTACTGTCCTCTGGATAGTTACTTTACTCTATTTCCATATGATAAAATTACTGTTTTTATGTTAGAACTTTTCTATTTGGTATTTGTACTAAATGTCTAATTCTTGGATTCAATCTATTAAGAGTATTTTTCTTTCTTCTATCTTACGTCTTAAAATGTCTTTGGCTTCATTTCTCTTTTTTTATTTCTTCTTATTTCTCTTATTTCTCTCATTAGAATTATAGTTTTCCTTGAATCAATCTCACATACCAAATTAATTCTTTTTTTTCTTTTTTTGTCTTGTTTCTGTTTCTGTTTTTTAAAAGTTTATTTTTGAGAGAGAGAGAGATGGAGAATGTGTGAGCAGGGGAGGGGCAGAAAGAGAGGGAGACAGAGAATCCCAAGTAGGCTCTGCATCATCAGTACAGAGCCCAACGTGGGGCCTGAACTCACAAAATGCAAGATCATGACCGGAGCCAAAATGAAGAGTCAGATGTTTAATCAACTGAGCCACCCAGGTGCCCCAATTCTCAGTTCTTAATGGAAAGTTTTGATCACTACTGTGAATGGACTCTTAAGTCAAAAAAAATTTTTTATAGAATAAGCAATACATGATCGTATTCCTGGTATAAAAAAATTTGAAAATACAGACATCTGAAAACATAAAGTAAAGGCTCCATATATCCCTTTTGCCCAAACTTACTTCCCCTTCCCTAAAGGTAACCACTATTAAATGTTCTTTTGTTTTGTATTTAACATACACACAAGTCTATACACACACACACACACACACACACACACACACACACACACAGCCCAAATACAGAGTTGTTTAATAATTTGGCTTTTTTACATACATAAATGAGATGATGCAGTACATACTATTTTGTGATTTGCTTTCTTTTCATTTAATGATATACCTTGAAAATCTTTCAGGTCTCTACATGTAGATTTACTCTTTCTTTTTATTATAACTTCATTATGTTCCATATTATTTCTGTACCATAATCTGTATAGACAATGTTTGACTGATAGCTATTTAGACTACATCAAACTTTTACTATTACAAATAATGTTGCAATAAGGCATTTTGTTTGTTTATGTCTAAAAATATTTTTCCAGAGGTGCCTGGCTGGCTCATTTGGAAGAGCATACAACTCGATCCCAGGTTTGTCAGTTTGAGCCTCACAATGGGTGTAGAGATTACTTAAATATTAAGAAAATATTTTTCTACATATATATCAATATAGGTAGGTAGGTAGGTAGATACGTGTTAGAATTAGAAACACTGGGTCAAAAGGCATGCACTCTCTATCGCTTCTCGGCCTTTTGGCTAAGAGCAAGTGTAAAAGGCATGCACTCTAAAAAATGTCAACAGATACCATTACACTACACTTCAGAAAGGCTGTAGTGCATTACACTCCCATCACCAGTGCCCGTTTCGTCGGAGCTTCATGAACCTGGATATCCCTTCGTCGAAAACAATGGGTGAAATATCTCCCACTGCTGTTCTAATACACTGCTGTTTCCCACTGCTGTTTCCTGATTAATTGTCCTGTTGAACATACCTTCATACGCTGGTTGCTGTGTATAGTTCTTCTGTGAGTAACATATTCATATATATCTTTTGCTTATTTTCCTGTTATCATGTGGTCTATTACTTGGTTTATAAGAATACAATTGATTTCTAAATTTTTCTTTAATTTCTTTGAGCTTGCTAGATTTACAGTCTAGTCAAAAAAAAAACTCTTAAAAAGACGTTTACTTCCTACGTTCTTAATTTTTTACCTCTGATCTCTAATTGCTGCTGGCAGCACCACTAGTACTAGACCCGAGGCAGCTTGCGTTTAAACAGTGTTGAAGTTTCTTACTCTTTACACAAAACTTCGAATAATTCTTAAAAAGAATTTCATTTAATTTTGGTTTGCTTTTCTCCCCAACAAAAGGGAAGCAGTAAAGAGCTCGGTTAATGATGACTAACAGTCTACACTCAAAGACTATGCCACTTAGTAAGTAGTATACAACCTTGGACAAGTTACTTAAACTCAGATTCAGTTTCCTCAATCATAAAATAGGAATTTAGTACCTTCATAGTCCACTGTGAGGATTTTTAAAAATCATTTTTATAAATAAAAGCCTACTCAACACATAAATGTTCAATCACAATTATGCACTACCACTTACGATTTTTGTGGCCTAGAGTCATAATTCTATCCATATCGTCAGCATTATTTACCACATAAGCTGATAAATCTTTGATATAAACTCCCACATCAGGTCTTTCTTTAACCTAAAAAAAAAGAGAAAGAAGAAAATGACCATAAGAGTTTATACACATATCCGTAATTCTTCCACAGTTAATTATCAAACATCTATTATGTATTGGACACTCTGCTAAACAGTGATGATACAGTGGTGGACAAGACAGTCATAGTCTCTACATTTGTGCAGGTGACAATCCATGGCAAGAACACACAAATGAAAAATAATACACACTATTTAATTTCAATTGGTATATCATGAAGCAAAAAAGTACACGATAGTATGAGAATGCATTATAGCAAGACTAAGACATATAGTTTCCCCAAGATGATGTTTAAGCTAAAACTTGATAAAATATGAGGTAGCCAATTCAGGCTGGGGTAGCAAGAAAAGAGTATGTTATGGGATCCCGAAATGGGAAAAAAACTAAGCACTCAAAAAAGTTAAAAATAAATAAATAAATAAAAAGCCAGATCAGCTGGAAAGAGTAGGAAGCCTGGGACAAACAGGCGGGATACCTGGCTACAGAGGCAGGCAGAGATAAGACGAAGCACAATTATTGGTCTTTATGTTAACAGCAACTTGAAGCCACTGGAGGATTTCAAACACAGAGTAAAATAATCAGATCTACAACATCTATGTAAAAACATTACCTTTCTACGAGTAACCTTACGAGAACTTTCATCAAATTTCAAGGACATATTTAGGATAGGTTTACCTAAAATACAGTGTTAGAAAGCTGACACTCACTTTGTAAGGCCCTATTAGTGACCTCCACGAGTCAACAAAATATAGGCATACCTCAGAGCTATTGTGGGTTGGGCTGCAAATGACAATGAAGCTGAAATACTGAAATAAACCAAGTTAAATGAATTTTTTGGTTTCTCAGTATATATAAAATTATATTTATACTACACTGTAATCTATTAAGTGTGCAATAACATTATGTCTAAAAACAGTGTATACAAATCTTAAATAAGAAATATTGTATGGGGCGCCTGGGTGGCTCAGTTGGTTGAACATTAGTTAGTCCAACTCTCAGGTGAGGTCATGATCTTGAGGTTCCTGGATTCCAGCCCTGCATCAGGCTCTGCAGTACACAGCCTGCTTGGGATTCTCTCTCTCTCTCTCTCTCTCTCTCTCTCTCTCTCTCTCTCTCAAAATGGATAAACAAAAAAAAATTTTTTAATATCTTATTGCTTAAAATGCTAACCATCATCTAACCTTTCAGCCAGTCATCATCTTTTTGCTGGTAGAGGGTCTTGCCTGACTGATCAGAGTGGTAGTAGCTGAAGGCTAGGGTGGTTGTGGCAATTACCTAAAATAAGACAACAAAGTCTGCTGTAGTGATGGATTCTTCCTTTCAAGAATGATTTCTCCATAGAACATGATGCTGTTTGTTTGATAGCATTCTACCCACAGAACTCCTTTCAAAATTGGAGTTAATCCTCTCAAACCCTGCCACTGCTTTATCTACAAGTTTATGAAATATTCTAAATCCTTTGTCATTTTAACAATCTTCACAGCATCTTCACCAGGAGTAGATTCCATCTCAAGAAACAACTTTCTTTGTTCAATCCATTAAAATCAACTCCTTATCGGGGCGCCTGGGTAGCTCAGTGGGTTAAGTGTCTGACTTCCGCTCAGGTCATGATCTCACAGTTCATGGGTTCGAGCCCCACATCAGGTTCTGTGCTGACAGCTCAGAGCCTGGAGCCAGCTTTGGATTCTGTGTCTCCCTCTCTCTCTGCCCCTCCCCCACTAGCACTCTGTCCCTCTCTCTCTTTCAAAAACAAATAAACATTTTTTAAAAAAGGAATCAACTCCTTATCCATTAAAGGTTTATCATGAGACTGCAGCAAGCCAGTCACAGCTTCAGGCTCCATTTCTAATCCTAGTTCTCCTGGTGTTTCCACCACATCTGCACTGACTTCCTCCACTGAAGTCTGGAAACCCTCACAGTCATCCACGAGGGTTGGAATCAACCCCTTCCAAACACCTGTCAATCCTGATATTTTGATCTCTTCCCATGAATCATGGATGTTCTTAATGGCACCTAGAAAGGTGAATCCTTTCTGGAAGATTTTCAATTTACTTTGCCCAGATCCATCAGAGAAATAACTCTCTAGGCAGCTACAGCCTTAGGAAATGTATTTCTTCAATAACAAGAGTTGATGGACAGGCTGCAGAATGGATGTCGTGTTAGCAGACACGAAAACAACATTCATTTCATTGTACAACTTCATCGGCACCCTTAGGTGATCAGGAGCATTGTCAACGAGCAGTAATATTTTGAAAGAGATCTGTGTTTCTCAGCATGTCTCAACAGTGGACTTAAAATATTCAGTAAACTGGGGCGACTGGGTAGCTCAGTCACTTGAGCGTCCGACTCTACATTTCGGCTCAGGTCATGATCTTAAAGTTTGTGAGATCAAGCCCTGTGTCAGGCTTTGCACAGACAGCACGGAGCCTACTTGGGATTCTCTCTCTCTCTCTCTCTCTCTCTCTCTCTCTCTCTCTCTCTTTTTCTCTCTCCCCCTGCCCCCATCTGCCCCACTCCCACTCATGCTCTCCCTCTCTCAAAATAAATGGACATTTAAAAAAGATATATTCAGTAAACCATGTTGTTGACAGATGTGCTGTTATCCAGGCCTTGTTGTTCCATTTACAGAGGAAAGATAGAGTATATTTAGCATAATTCTTAAGGGCCCTAGGAGTTTTCAGAGTGTTAAATGAGCACTGGCTTCAACTTAAGAGTCATCAGTTGCATTAGCCCTTAACAGGAGAGTCAGGGTGTCCTTTGAAGCTTTGATGCCAGGCACCAACTTCACCTATCTATGAAAGTCCTAGATGGCATCTTCTTCCAATAGAAAGTTGTCATCTACACTGAAAATCTGTTGTTTACCATAGCCACCTTCATGAATTATCTTACCTAGATCTCCTGGATAACTTGCTACAGCTTCTACATCAGCACCTGCTACTTCAGCTTGCACTGTCATGTTATGGAAACGGCTTCCTTCCTTAAACCTCACAAACCAACTTCTGCTACCTTCAGACTTTTCTTCTACAGCCTCCTCACCTCTCTCAGCCTTCAGAGAATTAAAGAAACTTAGGGCTTTTCCCCGGATTAGGCTTTGGCTTAAGAGAATGTTGTGGCTATTATCTTGTATCCAAACCACTAAAACTTTCTCTACATCAGCAATTAGGCTGTTTGCTTTCTTATCATTTGTGTGTTCACCAGTCTAGCACTTTTAATTTCCTTCAGGAACTTTTCTTTTACAGACAAACTTTGCTGTTTGGTGCAGGAAGCCTGACTTTCCACCTATCTTGGCTTTCGACAGATTTTCCTCACTAAGCTTAATCATTTCTAGCTTTTGATTTAAAGAGATGTGTGACTCTTCCTTTCACCTCAACACTTAAAAGGCTGCTATACAGTTAATTAGCCTAATTTCAAAACTGCTGTGTGTCAGAGAATAGAGGCCACCAGGAGAGGAAGGGAGATGGGGAACAGCCAGCCTGCAGAGTAGTCAGAGCACATGAATTTATTAAGTTTGCTGTTTTATATGGGCGTAGTTCGTGACACACCAAAACAATTCTAATAGTAACATCAAAAATCACTGATCAGAGATTATCATAACAAATATGATACTAATTAAAAACTTTGGAATATTGTAGTAATTACCAAAATGTGACACAGAGACATGAAATGGGCAAATGCTGTTTGAAAAATGGTGCCAATGGATTGCCCGACACAGGGAGAACCACATTATCTGGAAAGCGCAATAAAGCAAAGCATCATAAAACGAAGTACGCCTGTAAAGTGAAATGGGAGGCTGAGGTCTGTGGCTGCCAGTAGGGAGAACCATTCCACAGGCAGTAAGATCCCAAAGACAAAGATGATAAACAAAATTTAAAAAAAAAATCAACCCCATGGGCACCTGGGCGGCTCAGTTGGTTAAACATCCAACTGTTGATATCAGCTAAGGTCATGATCTCACGGTGTGTGAGATGGAGCCCCACATCGGGCTCTGCAATGACAGCACTGAGCCTGCTTGGGATCCTCTCTCTTCTCTGCCCCTCCTCCTCAGGCTCTCTCCCTAATTAAATAAAGTTTAAAAAAAAAATTAAAAAACAACCCCAGAGACAAAAATCACAAGGGCAGACACTCCAAATTCTAGGTGTTGATTCGAGATCTACTTGGCGGTTTGGGAGTTTTTTGGTATTTTTTGTAAAAATTTATCAGATATATTTATACATTAGGAAAAATTACTCTTTACCTTGTCATGAGGTATAAATATACCCTTATTTTATTTAGTAGTAAAGGAGTAATGGTGGTCTCTATAAACCAGGGGTGTCAAGCTGCTCTGAGAGCCCTAGAGAGTCCATGGTGGCCCTGAGGGGGCCACTGTAGGAGTTCAGGGGTTCTCAAGCCCAGAAAAATTCTAAAGAGAGCTTCACTTTCATGTGTTTTGCACACTGTGCTTCCATACGAGGTCTGGTACGATGAATGTATTTAATTGTTTTAAGTCTTTTAAATGTTTGAAAATTACTGGTCTATATCATTTACAGATGATAAATTTTCCTTCTCAGGAAATCTATGGTAAAGAACACTGTGTATATTTCTATTCCAGCAAACTGATATCTCTGAGAAATACAAAAATCATGCAGCTGATGTCATGGCAATGTCAAAACTTTTAAGCATTTACTCTCATTTTCTGCAGTCATGTCATTATAGAGCAGAAACACACTTCTAACTTGCTTTAGTCTGCAAAATCTAAGGTCATTTCCAATCACAATGTGACATTAATTTAAAATTCATTTAGTAAGTGCAGTAGATAAACTGATTAGATATGAAGATGAAGAACTGAAATATGACTCTAAATTTATGAAAGTTTTTATTGGGTAATGATATCAAATAATTTTTGTCATAAAAACAAAGAAATTTAGCTTCTATAACAAATACAGTTTATAACACTCAAACAATCGATCTCAAAGGAGCAGTTACTCCCCAGCCTAGAATATTTTAGAAATTTGTAGATTGAGTTTCTGGTTCATTTGAGAACATGATTGGTATTCATAGGCAGGAGCCATGGATACTAAATATCCTGAAACGAATGGGATGGTCTATCACTGAAGAATTGTCCCATACAATTTTGATGTCCTAGTACATATTCACATGAATGAAAAAAATAATTTATGATTACCTGAGTCTAGACCCAAACTCTATTTTATATATAAAGACAAAGTGCTTTTCCATGGTAATAACAGAGCAATGTACAAAACTGAGGAAAGAACTACTACTTTATTTTGTTCAGAATACCAAGAGGTAGTTACTATTTTAAAAGACCATGCCATTGACAGGAACACCAAGCGAGGTGCTTCTTTGTTTTTGTTTTTTGGAGGGGGAGTCAAAAAAATTTTTTTAAGTTTATTTATTTGAGAGAGAGAGAGAGAGAGAGAGAGAGAGAGAGAGAGGGAAAGGGAGAGAGACAGAAAAAGAGAATCCCAAGCAGCCTTCACACTGTCAGCGCAGAGCCCAATGCGGGGCTCAAACCCATGAACTACACAATCAGGACCTGTTTTTTGGGTTTTTTGTTTTTTTTTTTAAAAGAAGGCTTCTCACCCAGTGGGAGCCCAATGCAGGGCCTGACAAAGGGCCTGAACTCACAACCCTGAAATCAAGATGTGAGCTGAGATTAAGAGTTGGACACTCAACTGAATGAGCCACCCAGGCCCCCCCAGTCAAGGTGTTCAGATCACGGATACAACATACTTATAACAGTCTGCATTTGTAGCTGTTGCGTTCGTGATGTTTACATATGCCTGACTATTTCATTATGTCACTGAGTACGGTCATATCTAAGCATTTATATAATGAAATACTACCATTTTATATTTTCAGTACTTTTATTCTCATTTATATTACAGTTGGGCATTCATCAGCAGATGAATGGATAAAGAAGATGTGGAATTCTGGATTACACCACCATTCACCTACGTGACTGTGATTGAGTCAGGAAACCTCTCTAGGTTTCGGTTTTCACATCAACAAAACTGAACTGCTAGGAAGATTAAATGAAATAAAGTGTGTACTACTACCACAGTTTATTGCATTGAATGCCTACTACCACACTGTAAGAACTTAATAGTAGCCACTGTTACTCTACATGTATTCTACGCCATTCTACGACAGTACCTATTGTTGTTCCATATTCAACTACCATATACACCTTACTCTTTAATCATTTTACTAACAATGAAATTCCAATCAAAATTCCAATATTAATATTTTAAAGGCTAATCTTTTTTATGTCTGTCTCATATCTTAAAATATTAAAATGTTAGGCAATATTTACCAATTATTTACCACCTGACCCAGCAGTCGAGCTTCAGGAATTTATCCTCAGATATGCCTGAAGATGTATGAATTCATATATGTACAACACTATTTACTACAGAATTGTTTATAACAGATCAGCAACAACCCAAGTGTTCATCAAGAGAGGGCTGGCTGAATACATGATGCCCCCCAAAAACAGTATGCAGCTTTTAAAAAGGACAAAAGAAAAAAAAGAAGAATGAGGAGGCTTTTCTGTACTGATATGCAAAGATTGTCACAATCCATTGGTTCAGTGAAAAATACAAAATGCAATGAGGGATAAAAATAGGATTTTCAATAAAAAACAGTGAATAGGAATCAGCTAAACTTATCAGTTAACAACCTTATGTACCTATTCACAAATTTTGTGATTCTCTAACATTTATGCATGTAATTTCGTATTTCCCTTTTCGGGAATTCATCATGACAACAGTCTTTCATGACAATCTATTATTCCAATGTGTAAAAACTAGAATTTCTTAATCAGAAATTATAGTTTTTCCTTTAGGTAAAAGAAACATTGAAAACTACTATTTTTTATTATATCTATAATTAATACCATTATTTTTGACACTTAAAAAATTTAATTTTTCCCCCTCCCCTCTTTTTTTTCTTTTTCCTTTTTTTAAGTCACATTAGTGACCTTTTTTTTTTTTTTAGGTTTTTTTTTTTTTAGATTATTTATTTTGAGAGAGGCAGAGAGAGACAGACAGAGAGGGTGAGCGAGGGAGGGGCAGAGAGAGAGGGAGACAGAGAATCTCAAACAGTCTCCATGTTCTCAGCACATAGCCGGACAGAGGGCTTGATCTCACAAACTGTGAGATCATGACCTGAGCTGAAATCAAGAGTCAGACATTCAAATCAACTGAGCCACCCAAGTGCCCCTTCTTTTTCTTCTTTTTTGACACATTAAAAATTTCTGACTTAGAATAAATTGTAAAGTACTCTTGGCATCCATACCAGAAAATGGAACCTTACATTCACATAAAAATCTGTGTGAAGGGGCACCTGGGTGGCTCAGTCAGTTAAGCATCCAACTCTTGGTTTAGGCTCAGGTCATGATCTCACAGTATGTGGATTTGAACCCCACATCAGGCTCCAGGCTGACAACGTGGAGCCTCCTTAGGATTCTCTCTCCCTTTCTCTGCTCCTCCCCTGCTCACACACACACTCTCTGTTCTCAAAATAAATAACCTTAAAAAAAATCTGTGTACAAATGTTCATAGATGCTTTATTCATAACAGCCAGAAACTATAAACTGCCTTGATGTCCTTCAACAGGTGAATAGTTAAACTTTACATATATACACCATATATTACTACTTACCAGGTGAATGGTTAAACTTTACATATATACACCATACATTACTACTCACCATAAAAAGTAATAAACTATCAATACATGCAACAACTTGGATAAACCTCAGAGGAGTTATGCCAGGTGAAGAAGGCCGATCACAAAAGTTATATATTGTAAGGCTCTATTTATATAACATTTTTGAAACGACAAAATTTTAGAATTGGAAAGAAGATTAGGGACTGTCATGGGTTAGGGAAGGGGACAGAGGAACATAGTCAGGAGAGAGGTGGATGTGGTCATAAAAGGGCAACATGAGGCATCTTTGTGATACAACTGCTTAGTACCTTGACGTGGTAGTGGACAGATCACATGAACAAGTGACAAAATAGTACAAAGTACAAATGAGTACAAGAAAAACTGGGCACTTAAGTAAAATCTATAGACTGTAGCAATGTCAATATCATGGTTGTGATACAGTACTAAAGCTCTGTATGTATAAAATATGACTACTGGGGAAAACTGTGTAAAAAGAACTTCTATGTAAAGGGTAATCTCTCCATATTCCTTCTTAACAGCTGCACATAACTCTACACTTACCTGAAGAAGAATTTTAATTAAAAAAAAAATTGCAGATCAATATACATATAGAGCTACTTACAGAGCAGAAGTAAAATTCTATCTGTTTGTATTTACATAAAGGAACACTGAAGGAATACTGACAGTGGTTATCTTAGGGTGGGGAGAAAATGGAGTAGCAACAACTTTTCAATGCATAAATTTTCACAATATTTAAAATTTTGAATCGGGACCATATAAACAGGTAAAAAAAAATAAGTAAACTATTTTTTTTTTTAATTTTTTTTTTTCAACGTTTATTTTATTTTTGGGACAGAGAGAGACAGAGCATGAATGGGGGAGGGGCAGAGAGAGAGGGAGACACAGAATCGGAAACAGGCTCCAGGCTCCGAGCCATCAGCCCAGAGCCCGATGCGGGGCTCGAACTCACAGACCGCGAGATCGTGACCTGGCTGAAGTCGGACGCTCAACCGACTGCGCCACCCAGGCGCCCCAAAAAAAATAAGTAAACTATTAAAAGTACCTTTTGTACAAAAGGAACTTTAATTAGTTAACATTCTACTGCTTTGGAAAGCACTTCAATTCCAGTTATCCTTACCTCTAACCTCTGTGTCTGATCCTTGCCCAAAAGGTCACGAACTTCTTCATTATATATTTCCAAGTAAGACACTCGAACCAAAAATCTGTAAATAAAACATCATTTAAAAAAACAGAGAAATACTTACAGGAACAGTTTTAATATGTATTGAGAAGATATGTGCCTATATGCCTTTCTTGTGTTTGTACTTCTCAATAGAAAATAAAAGAATTCTCTTTTACCTTGTATCTCCCTCTGCTTTTGCAATATGACCAAATATGTGAGCAAATGAATTTGGAATGATTCCTCTAAGTTCAGGAACAGCTCGAACGCCTTCCATGGTAAAAGTTTTGCCTGTTCCAGTTTGTCCATATGCAAAAATAGTCCCTGAAAATGATGAAGAGATTCAATCACTTTTAGAGTCCAATGCTACAGGATAACAGCTCTTAAAAATAATTCCTTTGACATTGTGATGCAATTTCTTCCTTGGATTTAAAACTTACTCAAGTACAAATTTCACTTCTATTATCAACAATTACAACATGTACTCTGTGCCAGGTAAGCCAAGCACTGTTAAAGCCCTAAAATCAATGATATATTCCTAATTATTAATAAAAAGTATCCCAAACCGTAAATGTAAAGTCTTACACCATGGCTAAGCATAAGAAATTCATTATAATGTGTATGCTAATTCCTTAGTGTAAACATTACGTTGGAGAAGGTAGTACAATTGCAGGAGCAAAAGACGACAAGTTCTAGAATGGAAAGACCTCAGTGTGACCTATCTGCCAGTGGTGAGCCATATGACCTGACACAAGAATCTACCCAGAGACTGTCTCCTCAGTGGTAAAACAAGGATAAGAGTAAGTACCCGACATTAATAGTAAGAACCAAATGAAACAATTTAATCCAAGCGACCATCATGATGCCTGGTAGAGTAAAAGTAAATGGTATTTTCTTTCTTCTTTATTCTAAAATAAATTCATTACTTAAAAAATATGTATTTTTGAAGTAAAAGCTGTAAGGAATAGGGGAGTCAAAAAAGGTGACAATACAATCATTACAGGTAATTACAGATAGAATTTAAACTTTCTTTTTTTTTTTTTTTTTTTTTTTTTTTTTTTTTTTTTTTTTTCAGAGTTTATTTATTTTTGGGACAGAGGGAGACAGAGCATGAACGGGGGAGGGGCAGAGAGAGAGGGAGACACAGAATCGGAAACAGGCTCCAGGCTCTGAGCCATCAGCCCAGAGCCCGACGCGGGGCTCGAACTCATAGAATTTAAACTTTCTAAACACCTAAATTCATTCATTCAACAACTACTCACCACACACCTGAGTATGGTATTGTGCTAGGCAGCAGGGGACACAGTGACAAACAAGACAAACATAGTCCTTAATCTTACAGTGTGTGTAATCTTGGAAAGGAGGTATTGGTCAAATATTTATAGGAGGATGAGTCCTGGGACTGAGAAACAGAATTCTAGATGACAGTAAAGGGACATAGTGTAGGCAGGAGAACTGATGCAAGAGGAAATGCGGGGGTGGGGGGGGATCAGGAAAGGCATTCCAGAAAAGCTAAAATTTAAGATGCAATCTGAAATATGAGTAAGAGATAGTAACAGAGTGGACAGCAAGAGGCAAGAGAGAAAAAAGAGAGGTTTTGAGGAAATGAAATGAGATCAGAATGAAGGAAACAGAGATGGAAAATGAAGATGGATATAGACAGAGCTAAAGACACCAGCAGGAGCCTAATCACACAGGGCCACGAAGACCATACTAAGGTTTTAAGAAGGTATCATAAAAGCAAAGCAAAGCCAAAGAATGATTCTGCAGTTAGGAGTGAATCAGAATCGCTACAGCTATACTGTATACATAGAATTGGAAGAAAGCAAAGGGAGATTTGTGAAGAAACCAGTCAAAGAGCTGGAGCTGACAACAGAAGGGAGTGAGAAAGGTGGAAGGATTTCAGAGACATGTAACAGAATCAACAGCACCTGGGAAATAACTAGCCAGGGGAGGAATCCAGGACAACTTTCAAATTTCCAGCTTGAACAAAGGGATGTATGGCTATGCTGTATACTGCTATATACTGAGATGGTGAACACCACTAGAAAAAATGACAGTTTGAAAAGAAAGACCATGAATTCAGTGCAGGGCACACTGAGCTTTAAGTGCCCATGCCACAACCAAATAAATGCATGCATCAAGCAGGCAGGTGGAGGGATGAAATGTATTTGCTCAGTGAAGTCCTACGAGTGCATGTGATTTCCACGGAAGACAGCTCAGTTTAAGAACACAGCACAGGAAGTGACAGCCCAAATGACAAAGGCTTTTCAACTATCACTCTATGCAGTTAACCTCTTAAGTCATCATCATTTCTAGACTTTCTGTGACAATAAGCACAATAATTAATCACAACAGAAGCCATTTTTTACACATGGGAATAAAAAAGTCTTAATTTTTTTCTAACTCACTGAATATTTCAAACTCTGCCATAAAAAATGCATTATTGCATTCAATGCAATAAAGAGCTAAAAATATTATGAACTCACAGACTGCACTTTATAACTGACACAACAGCTATCATTTACAGATCATCTGCTATGAGCTAGGCATGTACTTTACATGCATCCTTACTGAATTTTCACCCCAATCCTAAAAGCTGGGCACTATTTCTATATCCATGCTTTAGTTGAGGAATCGAAGGCTTACAGAGGTTGGATTACTTGTTCAATGTCATAGTAAGTGGTAGAAAGAAGGTCTGCACACAGTCCATTTGGGTCCAGAGCTCATACTTTTAAAAAGTATGTAATGGCCAGAAATTTTTTGAATTCAAAATTAATTCCTAATGCAACTTCTATGAATGCATTAAATACATGAAGATTACTAATTTAAAAAGGTTATTAATCTCTAATTTTAGAGCTGAGAAAGAAGGATCAGGAATGCCTGAAAACAAAAGAATCTCATCTCATTTTCAGAGAGGAAATTCCAAATTCCTAGTTTTTTACGTCCAGTTTAACAAATCTCATGCCAGAATTTCCTTCATATGAACTTCTCTTAAAACTCTACTTTTTAAAAACTAAAAACGACCTGAAATCTTACCACATCTCCCTATTTCCTAACTACCTCTTTAAAATGGTGGAAGGCCTACAAAAAATCTGCACGTGGATTTTTATTTCAGTGCATAATTCTAACTGCCAAAACTTGGATGCAACCAAGACGTCCCTCAGTAGGTAGGTGAATAAATAAACTGTGGTACAGCCAAATAATAGAGTATTATCCATTATCAGCATAAATAAAGATATAAGCTATCAAGCCATGAAAAGACACGGGGAAAACTTCAGGGCCTATTAACTAAGTGGAAGAAGCCAAACTGAAAGTTTACATACTGTATGATATTCTAGAAAAGGTGAAACTATGGAGACAATAAAAGCATTAGTGGTTGCCAGGCTTAGTAGGGGAAGGAAAGATAAACAAGCAGTGCACAGAAAGAAACTATTATTTATGATATTACAACAGTAGACACATGTCATTATATTTTTTGTCAAAGCCCACAGAATGTACAAGAGTGAACCCTAATGTGAACTATGGACTTTGGATGATAATGACATGTCAGTGTATGTTCATCATTTGTAACAAATACACCACTGTAGTGGAGGATGTTGAGAGTGGGGAACTTTGTATACGTTTGGGGATAAAGGATATATGGGAAATCTCTGTGCTTTTTTCTTTCTTTCTTTTTTTAATATTTTTTAATGTTTGCTTATTTTTGAGAGAGAGACAGAGTACAGGTGGGGTAGGGGCAAAGAGAGAAGGAGACACAGAATCTGAAGCAGACTCCAGGCTTTGAGCTGTCAGCACAGAGCCTGACGCGGGACTCAAACTCACGAACTGCAAGATCATGACCTGAGCTGAAGTCGGACACTCAACCGACTGAGCCACCCAGGCGCCCGTCTCTGTACTTTTTTCAATTTTGCTTTAAACTAAAACTGTTCTAAAAAAACGAAGTTCACTAACTTTTTAAAAAAGTTTTAAATGGTAGAAGGATTATGTATTTGTCTTTCCACATTTGAATAATACATTTAAATAATGTAACATTCTATGTTACAGCAGTCCTGATTTTGGTCCTTTTTCCAAATGTTTTTCTATGTTACTATCAACAATTTTCAGTCAGCATAATAGGTGCAAAATAGGTGAAAAGTCCCTTGACATTTACATACTAATTCATACAACATTTTTTAAAATACACAGTTCTATTATTTCAAAATTAAACTTGTGACACTTCAGCTTCCAACAAAGATAGAGTAACAAGGACCAGATTCACCCTCCTGACTGAAACAAATACGAAGCAACAGTTTTCAAGACCATGGACTCCAGTCAACAAAAGGCCGTGACCCCTGAAAACTGGCAAACAGGTGAGGTGGGCCCTATGACAGCCCAGAGAGCTATGGCTTCCAGAGAGCCCAACGCAGCTATATGCTGTAGGGCACAGCAGTAGAGAGGACAACAGTGCACACAAAACTCCAGATTCCAGACATCTACAGATGGTCTTCCTCAAGTACTCAGCTGAGTACTAAGCATCTCAAGAGTGTGAGGAAACTATCTAAATGGAGGGGGGGGGGCGGGAATCATTTGGAAGGAAGAGTCCCCGGCACTCAAACAGGCCAGAAACAGTATCTATTTATACCAGTCAGACTGGAAAACCTCATGATTCACAGGACATTAGGTACAAAAAGGTCTTGCCTCATTCTTAGGGAAATAACCTCAGACTGAACACTGTTCCACTCCTAACTAAAGATCTTAAAAGATCTAAAAGAATCAAACCATTTTCAAGTAACTGCAACTCAGAACAAAATTCATCAATGTTTATAGAAATAAAAAAATTCAAGAGCCAAGGTGAAACTCACAGTGTCCTGGCACCCAACCAAAATTTGCCAAACTTGCAAAAAAGATATGACTCTTAATGAAAAAATCCATCAATCAGTCAAAACCAATTCAGAATGGACACAAATGTTAGAATTAGCAGATAGGGACATTAAAACAGTTATAAAAACTATATTCTACATGTTAAAAAGTTAGGTGGAAACTTTGGATGGATATTTGAAAGAACTTGGACAGAAGATACAACAAAGACCCAAATCAAACTTCTAAAGATAAAAATTACATGTGGGATGAAAAATACAATAGATAAGGTAAATGGCAGATTCAACAATGCAGAATAGAAGATCAGTCAACTTGAATATATATCAGTAGAAACAGTAAAAAATGTAACAGAGGAAAAAAATAGAAAAAAGAAAAACAGCATCAATGAGCTGTGGGACAATTTCAAGCAGTCTGATATACATGTCACTGCAGACCCCCAAAAAAAGGGTGGGGACAGGAAAAATATTTGAAGAGACAATGCCTGAAATTTTTCCAAATCTGATGAAAACTACAAACTCACAGATCCAAAAAGCTTAATGAATAGTAAGCACAGAAACATAAAGAAAAATACATGGCACATCATAATCAAATTGCTCAAAACCAGTGATAGAGAAGATCTTAAAAGCACCCAAAGAAAGATATGTCATGTAAAGAAGAACTAAGATAAGAAGAAAAGCAGAATTCCAGGAGGAAAAAATGCAAATGAGAAGACAGGAGAGGTATATTCTTCAAGTATTAAAAAAAGCTATCAACCTAGAATCCTATACCTAGTGAAAATTTCTTTCAAAAACAAAGGCAAAATAAATACTTTTTAGACTACAAAATCTGAAAGAATTCATCACCAGTAGACTTGCACTTGAGAAATATTTAAGGAAGTTTTTCAAACCAGAAGGAATGTTACTAGATGGAAATATAGATCTACATAAAGGAATAAAGAGTACCAAAAATGTTAACTACATAAGTAGTTATAAGTAATATATGTTTTTTCCTATTATTTAAATCTCTTTAAAAGATAACTGATGGTTTAAACAAAAATATTAACAATGTGGTTTGGAGTGCATAACATGTAGAAGTAAACAACAGCACAATACTGAGGAGACAACCACTGGAAGTACAGCACTACAAAATTTTTTTAAGTAGCACAGTATCACCTGAAGGTAAAGTGGGATACATTAAAGATTTATACTATAAACTTTAATGCAACCACTAAAATAAAACAAAGATGTATTGCTATATATGCCAACAGAGAAGAATGGAATAATAAAAATAATACAAAAGAAGGCATAAAAAGAGGAAAAGAGTACAAAGAGAAAACAAAAAGCAAGACATAAATTGTCTCAATACCCGCAGTGAAGAAGCAGAGTTACCAAGACTGAGTTTAAAAAAACACACACACACACACTCAAAATACTACCAACTATACAGTGCTGTGCCAAAAAGAGCTAACAACAGATCTGGGACTGCTATTCTTTGAGAGACCTGCTTTCAAAGGTGGCTTTTGACTAGCACCTGGGAATTTGGATTTAAGAAGGGTTCTCATCACTCCCTAACTGGTAAGAGTAGCTCACTATGCCTAACTTGTTTATATAAACAAGGTGGTTTGTGCTAAACACCTGCTTTCCTTCTCCTGAGAGCCTGGGATCTTGGCAAGTGCTAGGCTGAGGGTGCCCATATGAGCAGGCTCCAATAAAAACTTTGGGCACTGTGTCTCTTACAGAGCTTCTCTGACAAACAACATTTAACAAGTACTATCGTAGTCAATGGTAGAACAGTTAAGCACATCTTGTGTGCCTACTAGTAGGAGAGGACTCTTGGAAGTCTGTACCTGGTTTCCTCCATACTTCACCCCAGGCACCTTTTCCCTTTGCTGTTTTTTGTTTTCTTTCTTCCTTTTTTCATTTCTTTTCTTTCTTCCTTCCTTTCCTTCTTTCTTTTGGCTATGCATGTGTGTCTTTTTTGCTCTAATAAGCCAAAGCTGTAAGTACAACTATAGACTGACTCCCTTGACTTCTAGCAATCTGCAAATGTGGTAATCTTAGTGACTTCCAGTATAGCTACCTACTAGAAATGCACTTTCAATATAAAAACACAAGTAGGTTCAAAGTAGAAGGATGAAAGAAGATATACTATGTTAACATAGCATCAAAAGAAAATTAGAATGTCTATATCAATATCAGACAAAGTAGGTTTCAGAGTAAGGAATATTACCAGGGATAAAGAGAGTAATTTCATCATGAAAAAGAGATTAACTCACCACAAGGATTTAAAACGCCTAAGCATTTATGCACCTACTCAGAGGGTTTCAAAATTCATTAAGTAAAAAGTGATAGAACTGAAAGGAAAAAGCAAATACAAAAACGAAGTCAGAGAATTCGAAACCCCTCTCTCAGTAATTGACACACCAAGTAGAAAATAATTAAGTATAAAGAAAATCTGAACGACACTATTGAACAAATTGATGTAATGAAATGAACATTTATAGAACACTCCACCCAACAACAGCAAAATACACATTCTTTTCAAGAATATACAAACATTTAGGGGAGCCTGGGTGGCTCAGTCGGTTGGGTGTCCGACTTCAGCTCAGGTCATGATCTCACGGTTCATGGGTTTGAGCCCTGCATCAGGCTCTGTGCTGACAGCTCAGAGCCTGGAGCCTGCTTCTGATTCTGTCTCCCTCTCTCTAGCCCTCCCCCACTCACACTCTGTCTCACTCTCTCTCTCTCTCTCTCTCTCTCAAAAAATAAACATTAAAAAAATTTTTTTTAAAGAATATACAAACATTTAATAATAAACTTCAGGGGCGCCTGGGTGGCGCAGTCGGTTAAGCGTACGACTTCAGTCAGGTCACGATCTCGCAGTCCGGGAGTTCGAGCCCCGCGTCAGGCTCTGGGCTGATGGCTCAGAGCCTGGAGCCTATTTCCGATTCTGTGTCTCCCTCTCTCTCTGCCCCTCCCCCATTCATGCTCTGTCTCTGTCCCAAAAATAAATAAACGTTGAAAAAAAAAAAATAATAATAATAAACTTCATTCTAGATTATATGACACATCTCTAATTTCAAAAGATTCAAGTTTTACATAGTATTTCTCTGACTAAAATGGAATTAAACTAGACATCAGTAACAGATCTCTGGAAAATCCCAAAATATCTGGAAATGAACACTTTTTTATTTTTTTTAAGTATTTTTTTAATATTTATTTTTGAGAAAGAGAGCACGCGCAACATAGCACGAGCAGGGTACAGGAAGAGAAAGAGGGAGACACAGGATTTGAAGAAGGCTCCAGGCTCCGAGCTGACAGCACAGAGGCCCACACGGGGCTTGAATCCACTAACTGTGAGATCATGACCTGAGCCAAAGTCAGACACTTAACTGACTGAGCCACCCAGGCACCCCTTAACACATTTCTAAATAACCCAAGGATCAAAGAAGAAATCAAAAGGGAAGGAAGAAAGTTCTTGCACTGCATGAAAATGAAAACACAGTGTGTCAAAATCCATACAATGCTACTAACGCAGTAGTTAGGGGTTAATTCATAGCATTAAACCTCTATATTAGAAAGGAATATAGGTCTCAAAACAATGACCTCAGCTTCCACCATAACAAAGAAAAAGAGGAATAAAGTAGGAGGGAAAAATAATGATCAAGGCAGAAATTCACAAAATAGAAAATGTAAAAAATAATAAAGGAAAATTATTAAAACCAAAAGCCAGTTTTTTGACAAAATCAGTAAAATTGTTAAACCTCCTGCCAGACTAATCACAAGAAAAAGAGAAGACACAAATTACGACCTATCATTATCACGTACCAGTATCTTACTGAAAAAGATCACACCACATTCTAACATAAGAATGATAGAGGACTGGGGCGCCTGGGTGGCGCAGTCGGTTAAGCGTCCAACTTCAGCCAGGTCACGATCTTGCAGTCCGTGAGTTCGAGCCCCGCGTCGGGCTCTGGGCTGATGGCTCAGAGCCTGGAGCCTGTTTCTGATTCTGTGTCTCCCTCTCTCTCTGCCCCTCCCCCGTTCATGCTCTGTCTCTCTCTGTCCCAAAAATAAATAAACGTTGAAAAAAAAAAAATTTAAAAAAAAAAAAAAAGAATGATAGAGGACTGACATAAACAACTTGTTGCCAATAAATTCGACAAATTCCATGACAGATAAACTACCGGAGCTTACTAAAAGAAAAATAGGTAACTTGAACATCGCTATATTATTAAAGAAATTGAATCTTTAGTTAAAAACCTTCCCACAGGGTTCCCTGGTGGCTCAGTCAGTTAAGCATCTGACTCTTGATTTCAGCTCACGTCATGATCTCACGATTCACAAGATCCAGCCCTGCACTGATGGTGTGGAGCCTGCTTGGGATTCCCTCTCTCCCTCTCTCTCTGCTCCCCCACCTCAAAAATAAACAAACATTTAGAAAATAAGTATATGAAAAGCTGCTCAATATTATTAGTTACAGAGAAATACAAGTTAAAACAATGAAATACCACCACAGAGCCTCTACAACAGCTATAATTAAAAAGACTGATAATCTAAATGTTGGTGAGAATGTGAGGAAACTAGAACCCTCATACCATGCTCATGAGGAAAACAAATTAATAGTCACCACTCTCAAAAACAGTTTGGCAATTTCTTCAAAAACAAATATACCTTAACCATATGACCCAGAAATTCCACTTCTAGGTATCTACCCAAGAGAAATTTTAAAATTTAGTTGCATAAAGACTTATAAAAGAATGTTCACAGCAGGACTATTTATAATAGGCAAAAAACTGGAACAATCCAAATTTCCATCAAAGATCACTAAAGGAGGTATATTCATAAAATGGAATTCAGCATTAAAAAGGAACAAAGAACTGATATACACAACAACATGGGTGACCCTCAACAACATTATACAAGTGAAAGAAAACAGATAATAAAGATGAGATAGAGTATGCTTTGGTTTACATGGAATTTCAAGGAAAGACAGAACTATAGACAAAAGCAGGTCAACGGCAGCCTGGAGATGGGAATGCAAAGGCACATAAAGAAATTCCAGGGGTCATAAAACTGGATTGTGGTGATAGTTTCAAAACTGTATGTATTTACTGTAACTCATCAAACTGTATGATTACAATGGGTGGAATTATAGGGTATTAATACCTCAATAAAGTTATTTTTTAAAAAAGTGGACTTTATACTCACCATTGTAGCCTTCAAGAACAGAATCAATAATAGGTCTTGCAGTTAAGTTATAAACATCAAGTTGTTTACTCTCTGGTCCAAACACAGTATCAAAAGTAAATGTCTTTGGAGGTTCATTGGAAGAATCAGTCTTATGTACAGTAATAGTTCCCCTCATCTCATCCACACTGACAGCTTGTTTATAGCACATTGATTTCTCTCTCTCGTTGAGGGGCCGGCACCTAACAACCACCTTCACATTATCACAGCTTTCAGGCTTCTCTGATTTATTGATCTGGTGAAGAAAATATTCACAAATAATGAAAAGAATATTTACTTTTACCTTCAGCAAATTAAATTTCAAATTTGAAAAAGGCTACTTTGCCATCCTAGTACCTTGCACATATTAAATACTCCATGAATATTTGTTAAATGCAATTAAAGATCTTACAGATATATAGAAAAGGCTTATTAAAAGATATGAAAAGGCAAATAGTTTTTTTTTATAATACAAATGAGGGGAGAGAAAATCTAATTTACATTTATAGTAAATAAGTGCTATTCAAGCAGAAAATGAACCAGTATATTATAGACTGCCTTTCTGCATAAAAGTCCCTGACTTCCTCTGTGTTTCCTGCCTATAGGAAAACACACGTGAACATGGTTAACAACTTTAATCAAGAATATAGTAGTAGGTTCTGTGTTCCCGAGACTTTTATTTTCTACAATGCATTAGTCAAATGTTTTTTTAATCACGTAACTGTATGTAGTCTATCTTCTCTATAGAAGACAACATTAAATAAAACACAGAAAAGAAAGCCCAACAGCAGACATAAATGTTTTAGTATGCCTCTAACCTTATGAACATCTATACATGTAAAGTTTCAATTTTTGAAATTTTATGATTAAGACTCTATGTTAAAATATAATCCTTAACAAAGACAAATACTGTACGATTTCACTTATACGTGGAATCTAAAAAAAACAAATGAACAAACAAAACAAAACTTGTAGATACAAAGAACAGATTAGTGGTTGCCAGAGGGGAGTTGGGTTCGGAGGTAGACAAAATGGGTGAAAGGGATCAAAATGTACAAACTTCCAGTTATAAAATACATGAGTCATGTATAAATAATATATGGCATGGTGACTACAGTCAATAATACATATTTGAAAATACATATTTGGAAGTTGCTGAAAGACTGTATCTTGAAATTTCTCATAAGAAAAAAAAAATTTAACTCTGGCGATGGATGGTAACTAGACTTACTGTGGGGATTATTTCACGAGGAATACAAATATTAAATCACGTGGTACAGGTGAAATTATTATAGGTCAATTATACTTCAATTAGAAAAATACAATCCGGTTACTGAAGTAAAGGTCAATCGTTTAGTTGAACAGTACCAACACAAGATACCTCTCCCCTTCTCTACTTTCACCACATTAGTCTAGTCCCCATTCTCCCACCCTGCATTGTAAGGCTCCTTAATGGGACACCTGCATCTAGTTACTACATGGCAGTCAGCTTCAACACAAATTTAATCATGACGCTCCCTTAGTTACAACTCGGCAAAGGCTTCCCGCTGACATCACTGACATAAGGACTGTGTATGAAAATCACAGTCCTTAAGGCGGCCTTTAAGACCTGGCTCTGGCCCATGTCTACTTGTCTAGCCTTATTTCACAAGTTTCCCTGCTTGGCTTTCTTAGCCACAGCCACACGGGTTTCTTTGGTTTTTTTTTTAAGCCTTTTCTGTTCACCATGCTCCTTCTTACCACAAGCCTCTCCATGTGCTGTTCCTTCTGCCTAGAACATTCCTCACTCTCACCTTCACTTAGATCTCACCAAAACAGCCACTTCACTTGGAAAGACTTCCCTAACTAGGTCAAATCCTGGTATAGGCCCTGAGAGCACCCTACTCTCTCCCTCCTCTACAACGGTTTCAATTCTACTTTGCTTCTTATTTGACTGTCTGTCCTATCTGTCTACACTAGAGGTTGCGAACTGGTATTCAAGGGACCGAATTCAGCCCACAAATACTTTTTGTTTGGCTCATAGGATTTAAAAATATTTTTTAATTAGTTGCTAAAATTCAAAAATGGAGAAATTTCATAAAAATAACAATTTCTAGATTCTCTTGGAAAAAAAACGATGATTTGGGTGGCTCAGTTGGTTAAGTGTCTGACTTTGGCTCAGGTCACCATCTTGTGGTTCGTGGGTTTGAGCCCCGTGACCAGCTCTGTGCTGACAGCTCAGAGCATGGAGCCTGCTTCAGATTCTGTGTCTCCCTCTCTCTCTCAAAAATAAACATTAAAAATAATTTTTTAAGAAAAAAAAGATGATCTAACATGTATAGGCCAGCGTTCCTACATAGAAACACCTTACAACTCACCAGAAGCTACTTTCTATTATATGCCACCCATTCACTTCGTTAATGTTAAGGGTCTTGTCTCTACCAACATGATTTTCACCTCTGCCCATTAAGGCAAGCTTCTATCTTCCCAAGTTCAAGAACCTGTCTGGCTTTGCTCAATATTTTACCTCCAGTGCCTAACATGTGATTGATTCCCAGTATTTGCTGAGTGAACTGATAAATAACTTGAAAGCAAGATCACGGAACAAATACTAAGCATTTAATGCTAAATGTCAAGTAATGTCCTTCAATTCCGTTGTGCGTTACCTTATTTCATCCTGATAAAACCCCATGAGGAAAAGTTTAATTACGTGGGAATTAAAGACCCAGAAAGATTAAATAATTGTCCGAGGCCTCGGACCAGAAGAAAAACAACCAAAGCCCTATGTGTTCTCCATGACCCTATAATGGACTTAGGACGCCCCCTATTAAATGTACGATAATGTCCTGTGAAATCCTACAAGACAAACATACCACCCAACCCCCGGCCTCACACACAAAGACACCTACGGGTTACATTCTGCACTGTAAGCGAAAGCACCACGAGAGGAATGACAGCTCGAGTCAAGGGCTGGAGTAAGAACAGGCAGCTCTCGTTTCGCTCCTTTACGGAGCTGGGCTCCTTGGCGTACAGACCCCACCAGGTGCGGAGCATCCAAAGCCGACCCCCCGCGGCCGCTCCCAGGCGCCCCACTCAGCTAGCAGGGCTGGGAGCGAGAGCGCATCCTCAGGCGCTGTGCCTTTATGTCAAGCAGCACAGGCCCTGCGGGATGCAGCACCGGCGAAGACAGCAGGGCCTGCCCGGGGCCCCTCCCAGGACCGGCAGGATCCTCGCGGGCTCGAGCCCACCCGCCAGGCTCCCCAACCGCTGGGGCCAGCAGAGCTGACCCTGCCCCGCCCCACCCCAGACGCCTGCCTGTTCCGCGCCTCCATGGCAACAGCCGCGCCCCCGAGCCAGGCCGCTGGGATGAGGAATCCCAGCAGCTGAGCGACTCTCCTCACCGGCATCGTGGCTCCCTCCTGTGCCCCGCTGACGTCCCCGCCCTGGGCGCAGTCCAACGGCGCCGGGTTCGCAGGAGAGGTTTGTCAGAGATTACCGAAATACCGCCTTGGCGCTCTCGAGACTGCGGCTCCTCGGGCGAGAGCAGGCTGTGCGCAAGCGCACTGCGAGCTCGCCCCGCCCCGTCCCCGGGCCTCAGGCTCTCTCGGCCTTCTGAATTACGCCTGCGCGGAAGCTTTCCGAGTCCGTCTCCTAGGACGCCAGACTAAGGCTGCGCCTGCGCAATGCTGCCATTCGACTGCGCTAGAACTCTGGCCCGCATTGGGGCGGGGATACCTGGCTGCCACCGGTAGGCAGGGGGAGGCGCTGCTAAATCCCGCGACTACCTTTCTGGCTCTGGCAATATTCCCAGTATTAAAAACAACCATAGGGGGGCACCTGGGTGGCTCAGTCGCTTGAGCGTCCGACTTAAGCTCAGGTCATGATCTCATAGTCCGTGACTTTGAGC